TGTTCTGCTGTAGACTTTTGAAAGTCCCAAAGTATATGTAGTTAAAATAAACAAGGAATAAAGTTTTAGTTAGCTAAAGGGAGAGGTGCTAGGGTTGTTGAGTAAAACTTTTCTAGCCCTTTAAAACTACTGAGCTCACATAGGTGGTAGATCAGCAACCTGAGAGAGAATAGATCTCAAGAACAAGATAAAAAGGCAATAGCAGTGCAAGCTTTCTGAAGTGATGTAGAGTCTTTGTTTAGAAAAATAGCATTTACTTAGTCTCTATACCTGTTCAGTTCTCAGGCTTTCTGCTGGAACTAGCAATAGTCATTACTTGGCCCCCTGGGACGAGACAAAAACCACTATTCCATTTCAGGTATATCACCAAATAGCAGTAATGGGGTATCTGCCATTGCACCAGACTAGATTCAGTAACCCAGAAATGAAAGGGTCCCTGTCTCTTAATATATTCCCTGTCCGATTGCTCAATATTTCTTTAAAATTAACATATCAAATGGGTATAATGATATGACATGTATTTCTAGCATTACTAATATATATGTGATCCTCCTCAGTTGCATACTAAAGACATGGCCTATAAATGATTGTGCATGTGTATATACACACATACATACATGCATATATATTTCAGTTAACATGGAGACAGAACTGCAAACTGGATTGAGGGTTACCATTGATTTGCAGAACTTTGAGTGGATAGAGCCAGTTTGCAAAATTCTACTCACTCATTGAAGTACATGTTGTTTGTTTTAAGTTTGATAGATATGTATGGTATTAATCATAGTAACTGTCTGGGACAGTAGTTTTTGGGGGGGGGGGGCTGGTAAATTTTTGTTAACAATTTGGCAAGGCTGGAATATATTCACAAGTTTTATCATCTGTGACAAATATCTGGACAATATTTTTCATTTTAGAAGTAAACCAAGTATGATTCAAGTCAAAGCTACCAGCATAAGATAAGCATTGTCTACATGTTATTTAACTGTCTCAAAATGCCATGAAGGCAAGAATACAACAAAACAGAAACTGACTGGTGCGCTCCAGCATTTGGTTGCGTGCACTGTACTGACCACAGCAGCTGAAGGTGGCCTTTCACGTGTTTTTTAGAGTGACATACATCATTGCGTTTATGGCATTTCATGACTCTTCTTTGCCTTTCACATTAATGAGTGGTAGGCCACACAGTACCACATGTGCTTTGCTCACTACAAGATGCTACATTCCACCCTCCTCAGATGTACTGAGTATTAAAGTTTACTGCATCTGTGAAATTTGGGAAAACGTGAAAAACAGGGACAGGAATTTTATGTTTTACTCCCTTGTGGCTTCCACCCAAGATGTCTTTCTCATGTAATGTCACACGAGCAAACAACCCAAACACAGAAGGAATGGAGATAAGCGTGAAGCAAACTCTGTCTCTGAACTGTGGGGAAAGTAGGAACTGAACCAATGATCTCCCTTGCTCCTTCTGTGAGGGTATATGAGCAGGGCAGCTATATCCAGAAAAGAGAGTGTCTCCTTCCCTGCCAGCCTGTCTAAAGCAACTCCCAATGGAAATCCCATACAATTCTTGGTCATTGTGTCAAGAGTGAACAAGACTATTAATTGTCCTTAGCTGCCACTCCACACTGAGGAAGAAAGCACTCATGAATGGTCCTTAGCAGTATGACCTAAGAGCTCCAAGTGAAGAACCTTTACTTCTGACAACTGAGACAGGGCTGCATGGCTTGTTCTTCTTGTCCAAAAAGTTGGGAGGGGTAGCGGAAGACAATCCCATCCCTAACTCAGGAGTCATCTCCAGGAACTCAGCAGGCTGGAGCTTGCTGATCTGCCTTTCTCTTACATGCGTTACACACATGTAGAGAAGGATGGAGCCAACAACTTTGTGGCTGGGGACTGGTGTTTAAAGTGGTCTGAAAGATGTGGAGAGGTCTATCATCATCCTGTCCCCTGCCTAGAAGTTAATTCTGCCCCTGCCCTGTCTTAGCTCCCCAATTAATCCTTTGGCCCTAGTCCCAACATCAGCTCTGCCCCAATTCTTTTAAAAACTCTTAAAACTGTAAAAAGAAACAAGGAAGTAGGGAGGGACACACAAGAGCTATGGAGGTCCTAAAACCTTCCGGTGAGTAATGCCTTGGGAGGCGTGACTTTTTACAAACGTTCTCAGTCACATCTGTGTCCTGATGTATTTTAAGCCTTTCTTGTGGATCAAAACTCAGAAATGAGGCAGAAGGTGTACTTTGGACCAGGAATCAGACTGGACTGGGAGCAAACCACAACAGTGTTTGATTTTATGATAGCTCAGACACTTAATGAGTTATCCTTGATGAATAGATGTTGCGTGAATTGCAGTTCTGAGAGCATAGTGTGCCAAGACACACTGCTTCAGGGCTGTCAGTTCAATACAGTTTTACTTACTCATTAGATCAGGCACTGAAGAACTGGGTTTGATTATAATATTTTTAGGACCAAGACCACCTAGTTGTTTGTACCATGCATACTTCAATGGAATCTTACTCTGATTTGAGCCTCAAGGTGTACTTTTAAACAAATGAGTAACACAAGAGGCAGTATCACAATCATGTTGATACAGAACACATTGGAAGATGTTTATTTTCTACCCTTGGCTAATGTCCCATGGTTCTTAATATTCCAAGTCGTCATCTTCGCTCTGGAAACATATGGACAAACCTTGCATGCACATTATTTTTGTGTCTCCTGCCCACCTCCGTTGAATGTCTTTGCATTCCCTTCTTCAGAGAGATTTTAATGTGCCTGCAGAAGGTAACAGAATGTCATTGCTGTGTTGCACCCAGTTGAAACAGTTAGAACAGTTCTTCAATAAATGCATCAAAAAGAGAGAAACAAGGTGTGGATGGTTTGGCCCTCACTAGCAGCCATTCTCCCACCCAGCTGCTCACTCACTCACTCCCCGCCCTCCTGTGGGACATGGGGACAAAAGAGGAAAAACAGGAAAGAGAAAGCTTGTGGGTCAAGATAAAGACAGGCAGATTGCTCAGCAATTACTGTTACAGGCAAAACAGACGCAAAGTGAGGAAATTAATTTATTGCCAATTAGAATAAATTATTACTGATTCAGGTAGTAGAAAACAAAAACAAGAAAAAGAAGAAATTAACATTTACACACTTAGAGAAAACACTTTTCCTCCACCTTTCCCAGGTTCAAGTTCACTCCAAGCACCTCTCCTCCCCTCCTTGTTATTGCCACAGGTTACACTCAGTCCCTTCGGTGAGGCAATGGGGGGCCCCTTCTTCCTTCTCATTCTTTTCCTCTGCTGCAGCATGGGTCCTCCACGGGCTGCAGTGAATATCTGCTCCACCATAGAGCATCTCCTCCTCCTCCTCTTCCTCTGGCCTTGGTGTTCCCTCTGTTGTTTTTCACTCTTTTTATTTCCTCCTCCTCCCTCTGGCTTTCTTTACTCTCTCTTTAATATGTTTTCCCAAGGTGCCACCATCTTGGCTGATGGGCTCAGCTGTGTCCCGTGATGGGTCCTCTGGAGCCAGCTGGAACCGGCTGTGTCCAGCATGGGGCAGCCCTGGCCTCTCCTCACAGAGGCTGCCCCTACAGCCCCCCTGCTGCCAGCACCTTGCTATCTATACCCAATACACAAGATGTGACGTCCTCTGTAACAAAGTGGAGAGAAGCTGTCCCATCAAGAGAGCAGTCTTCTGTAGATATCTCAGCCCACCAGCAGTGATCGGATCACCACAGAGAGCGTGGCTGAGGAGAACCACCAGAGAGACGATCGTGATGGAAGAAAACAAAACCACTCAAAGGCAGTGGGAACACTTGAGCTATTGGGAAAGAAGGGGCAGGGCAGCCAAATTTCCAGTGGTGGTGGAGAGTGGGCTGCAACTGAAGCTGGTGGGAGAGACCTCTCAAACCACTCAAGATCTCTACTTTCTCATTGCGTTAGCCCGTACCACAGCCTGATGCCTGGCAGGAACGCAACTCTCAGGTTTTCAGTAACAGGGTGAGCCAGAGACTGCTGGGCTGGGCTGCAGCAAGGACTGCAGGTACCCTGTAGGCCCTCTTTGAGCGCTGGGCCCAGCTGGAGGCTTCTCAGCTACCGAGCAGGCCCAAAGCCCCTGCGCAAGGACTCCCCATGCTGATATGGCTGCACGTGAAGCAGAACTGCAGTACAAAAAGGCATAAATGTATGAAATACAGTAAGACCTGCAGAGGGGCATAAGGCCCAAGGTTACTGGGTGACTTTAACTGCAACTAGAGGAGGTGATAAGAGGGCAGAAAGAGAATGTGAGGGAAGACCAAGGAATGCTGCAGTTTTCTCTGAAGCCACATACAGAAAATGCTGCCACAGGAAGAGCGTGTTTAGGAGGACTATCAAGGGCAGAGCAACAACTTGCCTAAAATAGCAGTGTTGAAGTATGGAATTAGAAGAGGAAGGAGGAGCAGAGAAGGAAGGGGAGCAATAGTCCAAGTTCTATTAATTTTTTTAAGTCCGTCTAATTTCAGCATAGGCTTAAAAAACCAAAACAAAACCTCCAGGGGATTCTTCCATCTAGGAGTTCAAGCTTTGAAGCAAAATCTGCTTTTCTGTCTTTAGCAGATCTCTACTGTCCCACTTCTTTCTGCCATTCTAATGTTTAATTGGCTTCAGCAGAGATGATCTATTGCTAGTTCTGGGTCAGGCCCTTGCCAGTAACTCCATGGGGTCTGAGCTTCCTCCAGTCATCTCATGCTTCTATTTAAAATATTTTAACTGGAAAGCTTAGATAGCCGCATTTCAGAGACTACCATTTTGCAACAAAATTCCATCTGGTCAACATTAGGTCCACTAGCCATGGTTGGAGTGAAAAACAAGCTTGCCTTCATGTTGAGGCTGTACAGCTTCAGTTAAATGTAATTTGGAGTGGGATAACTTGCTACTAATCAGCATCAGCACTGACAGCAGGAAAACTAGCTTTTAAGAATCCAAATTTCAAAGCACACTTGTTGGCAGTCTGGTACTCACTTTCTGTTTCTTGGGAAGATTTGAGTGTTTCTCCAAACTCACACTACTCTTTGGAGAAATGGTGGATTTTTCAGAGTTTCCAGGCTTCAGGAAGGACATAGATGAAGCACCTGCATAAGAAAAGAAATTTAAAATTGTGGGAAACTGAATGGTTTTAATATCACATAATGCAATTGATAGCCCTACTGCTAAATGGAGTTATTTAATGAACAAACAGGTCATAATATTCTTGGGGAAGACCTAAGAGAATATACCCAGCTGACACAAGGATGAGGCAATGCCTCTTACATCCCCTGACAGCATACTGACAAACTGGTGAGAAAAAAGTTTCATCTCTCTGGTTCTAAGTTGATGAAGCACAAGAAGCCAGGGAGGTGAAGTATGTATGTGAACCATATAGGATTGGCATGCCACTGTGCAGAATGAAGAAATGGCTATATTCCTCTCTGCAGTAGGACCTGTGCAGTAAAGACAATGCTGATACACTGCAACTTTCACTTTCCCTTTCTTAGAAAACTTATCAGTCATTAGTATAGTGCAGAGAGTAAGTCCTCTGCAGACAGTGTAAGAGAGGCAGCAGTTTATGTACACAGCTGCAAAGGAGAGCAAACAAAGTCCTTATACTGAAAGATTTTCACCTAAGCTATAAGCTTGTCCTCCTAAACTACAGAGCTTGGTTAACAACCTGTAAGGAATGATGATGAGTTTTTATCCAGATCTTCTTGCATTTTAAGAAGTATTCTCTCCTGCTCCAAGGCTTCTATGTACTTGGAATAGGACCAGGAAGCCTGCAAGAACCATTAAAAACCATCAGCCTCCTGACCATGTCACTGGTAGTTCCTCATCCATTTCAACAGTGAGACAAAAGACTTGTTTATGTTATATTCCTGTTATTGAATAATCCCAATTATTAAGAAGAGAAGTTTTGTCATGACAATACTGGAATCATGGGAAGAATAGTATTGCTGCAAATAAGCAATCTCAAAACACCATGAAATACAATTTAAGCAAGTTTGACAGATATGAGTTTTACATTCATTTATTCTCCATCCCTGGTCTGAGTCCTATTCTCTCTCCTTTCATCTTCAAAACCTAAACACAGCAGACCTTTTCCCTCCCAAAATATCAGCCTTTTGTGCTATTGAGGACTTGATTTTATCTCCCTTCCACATCCTTCCAGTGTGTCCTTTCTCAAATTGTTGAAGATCTCATTAGCCTCAAAGTTCTTTCTACCTGCCCTCTCCAGCAGAATGCTGCTACCACTAAAGGCAGATCAACTGGAGATGTCATCCTTTCCTTTTCTAAGGAACAAATGTTGCTCTTTACATTGCAACAACCACATTTCAGGTTCCATGTAAATTTAGCTCACTCTCCCAAATCAGTATGGGAACTGTACTTTTGTTTGGCCTTTTTTCCCTTACAGCCTGAAAACTTTGGGGCCAATTTGTCATTTCATGACTCAGTAAGAACAACTTCGGCATCTTCCTATGGCAGAAAGGGGCTCAAAGAAGAAAGTGCTCTATAAAAGATTATTGTTCTTTCTGCAATTACATGCCTCTTGAGGGCTTAGGTGTATGATATTGATATACTGGCTCACTCAACTCACTTTTTTTTTTTTTTAAATAGGTATGGGCAAAGGTTAAAAGGTCCATTTAAGGGATAAGAGTGTGAGCTCAGCTATGCATTTTGCACTGTGGCTTCATATTTTGAGGGTATTTCAGACTGCCTATTTCTATATTCTGCTCATCACTAATGTAATGCCATGTGAAGAGCTCTATGGAATACAAGCAGTGGCCAGAGTGTGATTTACTCCTGCATCGCATGAAATAGCTGTGAATATGTGGTTGCACAGATTGCCCATTATGTTATGGCAGTGTCAGCTAAGCTATGAATGACCCCTTGATATGCCTAAGGTGGCATGTCTATTCTTCCTGTTTCTCCAATAAAATGACTGTTACCTTTTCACTACAGATTTGATGCATCATGAGGGTTGTTCTGGAAGAAGTACTAAAAAGCTTTTTTCTGTCAGATTTTCTATCCAAATACCTGGATTTCCTAAATGAGTTCAGCTTCACTTTTTGACATATGAGCAGAACCGGAGTCAAGCCTAAACCAAATTCTTTCAGGATATGAATTTTACAAGTAATGAAAAGCTTCTTATTCCAGAATTGAACTTCCTTTTCTTCAATTTATCTTTCAATAAAGATTGTTTTTAAATCTACACACCTAGAGGGCTTAATATGTTGTTATATATTAATACTACTCAGAACTTAAATCTTAAAAAAATTAATAAAGAAAAAAAATCACCTGTAAGGTAGGTAAACTTACAACAGCAAAGTTAATTGTAGAAGAACAATGATGAATCAAATGACCATGTGATAGTAGTATTCAATACCAAACCCCACCTTCCCATTCTCCCAAGATCATTTTATCTCTCTTGAATGATGGTATCTGTAGCAACATGTTTATTATTCACCTGCCACCCATATCCATTTGAAAATGATGCTGGTCCTCTTGCCACACCAATCTTGTCTACCAAAGCACTGCTTGACAGACTGATGACTTCTGTCCCCACTTCTTTACCCTGCCAATAAGAACTCATAATTAGATGTAAACAATAGTTACCAAGCTAAAGTGAAAAGCAAAGTCTGAGGAAGCAAAAATTGTCATTGGAAATTAGACCATTGTCATATGCAGTAACGTTTTATAATGCCCAGTTTCGTAATTCATCCTGTTGGGCATAATAAAAAATATCAGAAGATACTGCTTTTTTAAAGCATTGCTTTGTCCTAATCGATGTTTCTTCACCTCTACACTCCTGCTTCCTTTCAGATTAAATGCTTCAAAATATAACTAATTGCAAGGGCAGACCTGCAACAGAACATATTTTAAGGACAGAGGGGCCGTTGTGATCCTCTAATTTGGCCTCATGTATAAATGCAGAACATAGGATTTCTCATTATTAATTCCAGCTTGGTCCAGTAGCTGTAAATGAACTACAGTAGACATGTTAGGAAAACAGGCAATCTCATTTAAAACACTTACAGTGAAGGACAAGGCATTGTAACCCTTGGCAAACCATTCTAGTGATTAACTATTTGTCATTTTCGTGTTGTTTTAGTGTTGTATTAAGGCTGCACCTTTGCGCATTCTGTCTGATGGTCCCCAAACTCTTTATGAACATTAATCAATTAATCAATAATTAACCCCACAATATCCCCATGCGGCAAGTAATAAAACCCTCCCATGTTGCAAATGAGAAAGTGAGAAAAAAAGAGAGGTCAAATGGTTCCCAAAGTCACTCAGAAAGTCCCTGAAAGATCTGGAAAAGGATCAGAATATCCTACATCCTTGCTCCCAAGGTGCCTTTTCCTTCCTTATCACCCCACTGTCCTATGGACCCATCATCTCTGAGGGTGACTTTTGGGTATAGAACTTCCCAGGCAGCATGGTGTTTATCTTCTCTCCAGAAGAAGGCTTACTAACTTCTATGGCACACTCAATTGACAGAACAGGAATGCCAAAGCAAATACAGAAATAGTGTGTATACTAATATACTACAGTTTATGTTTGCTAGCTTTCTCAATGAGAATGGTGAATTAAATGAGGTCTTTAATAAAGTCTTCTCATAATAAATTAGCCAATCTTATGGCAATGTCATATCCCATGACATTACACCACTTACTAACAAATTAGCTTACTGCTAAGAAGCTTAAAGAGAGATGAGGGAAACATGGAAAGGAAAATTAATGCTTATGGATTTACCTTTCTCTGCTAAGGGCATGGAAAAAGTACAGATTTACAGTGTAAGTTAAAACTATTTTGTACACTTGAAAACAAAAAATCCAAAATCTATTTTGGAGGTAAAATGCAATTGTGTATACAACAAATTACAAATACTGGCATCAAGGTAGTCTGCAAAAAGTGACTAATGATATTTTTTAAGGTATGTGTCATGTGCATCTGGCAGTTAACAAAGGAACAGATCCACAGATGGGCCAAAGATGAGCCCATATAGCTGTGCCCCACTAAGGGCAAATATGTGAAAATGGAGAAGCAAACCATACTCTCCCAAGGCCGTATCTTTTAAAACAACTATTTCAGCACAATACTGAAGCAATCACATTATGTTGAATGTTCAAGCTTACTTCACCCTGTACCTACCCATCCTTGACTTCCAGACACTAAGCTTAAAAGAGGTCTTTGCATAGTACAGTGCTTGCATGGCATGCCTCACTGTCAGCCACTCCTCCCCTGCACTGGGCCCATTGCCAGGAAGCCTTTGATAGGATTTGCCCCATAAATAACAAGTAGGCACACACAAAAAATAAATATTGAGATAGTGAAATAATACCAAGTCATGCATCATTGTCCAGTAAAAACCTTCTTGTCTGCCATTTTTACCATTATCCCACATAAAAGTCCAACTCCGATCCAGTCAGTTCAGAAAGTGAGGTGAGCTCAGTTAGACCGGGCACCCCAGGGACAAATTTATGAGAAAGGAGAAAGTAAAATTCCTCCCCCAGGACCATGATTGTTCCGTTTGACATGAACCCAAAATGGCAACTGATTGGGGGGAGGGCGGTTTGGGAATATATATAAGAAAAATTAATCATTTCTAACCCTTGCCAGAGCTTTCTTCTCCTTCGGCGTGAGCCTGGTGGGGCAGAGAAGCATAGACTTTATTTTAAATGCCAAGAAATCATCACCTTCTACAAGCTGCCAAGTGAACCTGCTATCGCTTATGTTGGATGAACCTTATCAGTATCCTTCAGGGATACTGAATCATTTGAATAGTTATGTTGTCACCGGGGGAACTGAAATCTCAGGCAAGAGAACAGAGAATGGCAAATTCTTTAAACAATAATAGAGGGAGGGAAAGGGTTTGAAAAACTTATCTGTTCCACCTATTCTTTCAAGAGATTTTAAAAGGTAACTGGTTTACTGATAATTTTTTGTGAGAAGGATAGTCTGCAGACTGTTTACTGAACTGCATTCTCTGCCTGTCACTTTCTAAAATTTCTTACCCTATTTCCCAGCTTAGAAGGGTAATTCACCTTTCCCATTTGTTCCCCATAAAAGCTAGGCTTTTGCCCTCCTGGCCAAGATTTGCTCTTTACTTCCTTGGTCTTAATCAGAAATCTTATAGGCAGGGAACAAACAGATGGAAAAAATAAGTCTGTGAAAATGCAAAAGTGCATTACTTTGAAATATTGCATTCTTGCGCTATAAGTATTGCCAATGGCCTTGCCAGACATATCTGTATGGAGGCAACGTGCTTTGGAGAAAGGAACATGAGTTCTTGGATTTTAGACTTCACTTGACATTGGTGTGTGGCCTTGAGTAACACTTCACTGGTCCTCAGTTTTCATGTGTCTAAAAGAGGATAACAACGTGTACATGTTCTTACAGGCATATATGTCTTTATCTGTCCAGGTGCTCATGTGGTTCTCATCACAAGTAACATCTCAACACATGTGTACATGGTATTTAAAATATGTAAAGGTCTTTTAATGCTACTTATGATAGTTTGCAAGTCAAATAATTTCTCTGCCCTTAAAGGAATGTTCTCTCCTCAAAGCTGACCAAACAATTAGATTTTGTAAAAAATAAACTTTTGCAAAGCCTATAATCAATAGAAAAAAATCCATTATATTTTAATAAAAAAATTCCAAGAAAAACAATTTGACAAGCAAGCATTCTGCTGTAGAGGTCACAGCTCTATTAATGCACTGAAATTGCCTAGAAACTGTGAACAGTCTTAACAATTTCACTGTCAAAGCTGAGAAATATTCAAGAAAAGACAAAGGCTATACAAAGCAATTAGCACAGAAATATTTTTAAAAATAATGTGCAGACTTTTCAAATGCTCCTTCTGAAAAGTAGATATGAAATCTGGTTTGGTTTTGTTTTGTTTTGTTTTGCTTTCAATAGTGAACCAGGACTATAACTTCTAAAATAAGACAGTACATACTGAAAGTGCAAACAGGTCTGCCGTTACCCATTGTACACATGGACCGTGCATAGTTGTTTTTTTTAAATTTCAGTCCTCTTTTTCACTCTATTCTTGGCACAAAGGATGACTAAAATACATTTTCCCCTCTGCTTAATGAAAGGAGTATTCCATTGACTCATCTGCTTCAAGTTAAACAAATGTATATGCACTGGCAGGATCGGGAACTAATCACCCTAGGACCAGGTCGCATGTAAAGCTTGAATTCTAACAGAAAGGCTTCGGTAGCTTTGGATCAGGCTGAGAAAGGGATATTTGAATTCATGTATATTTGTTCATGAAGGAATTTTTATGCAGTTTGTCAGCTGTCACCTGAAACTTTGTGACCCTTACCTCTGCTGTTTTGCCTTCCTTCTTTCGCATCTTTTTTCCCTTTTTTCTCTCCAAGGCAAATAGAATTTTGTCACTAGCCAAATTGCTCTGAAACTTACAAAATTTTGGCCAAAATTTAAACAGAAGAGCAAAAATTGTCATCTGCGCAGAAAGAAAAGAAAGTCAATCTTGACCATATTAAGAAAACAGAGTTTACTGTAAAATAAAATGTAGTTTACCATGAGAATGAAATAACTATTTCTTTTTGAATACACAGCCTTGTTCCTCCCACGTACTGTGTCCTGACATTTCAGCCCAGTTTTGCTCGGCACATGCTTTTCATCAGTGTGTTTATTACTGGTGAGAAATCTTCCTAAAACACAGTTAAAAGGCACTTTCTTTTTTTATATTTCCCTAAACAATTGTTTGCATTAATGAAAACATCCATCATTTTTTACAAGTATTCCTGATAAAATATACACCAGTAGAATTGCTTTTGCACCACTGTTCTGCTCAAGTATTTCAAATATTCAGTTCATTAGGGAGAGGGGTTTTTTTCCCTCCTTAAGAGAAAGGAAATACTTTTTTGCCTCTGGAAAGGCTCTTAAACCACATTACAGATCTATGAGCAAATCTTGGATAATTTTTAAATGATATAATCTCTCACAGGGTCTTTTTTGAACTAGAAAAAGAAAAACAATTTTAGAAAAGCAAACAGAGGGGCTCAGTGAATTCTGTTGCTGCACGTACTAAGGCTCACATTTTTCAATTTATTTAGATGTTTAATTCTCATTGAGAAACTCAGCTTCAAAGGAGCCAAGCATGCTCAGCACCTCGCTGCTTCTGGCTCAACAGACTTGAAAGTGACATGTGAGTCACTGTCATGTTCCAGTCACAGCTTTTTGGCTAAGTCCTTCCCTTGGTTTTGTGCCACATTTCTGGAGCACGCTGGGTTTTACACAGGCTGAAATGAGAATTCTTATTTCTCTTAGGACCTATATGAACCCTTTTTTCTGACAAACCATTCATCTTTTGTGATCCAAACACTTTATGGACTCACAGTTGATGTTTAAAGGTGTTGGTGGCAATTTTATAGGAAAAGAAGAACTAGCTTTCTTGGGTTTAGACGATAAGACAGAGAAGACAGTAACAAGGAATAAGAAAATAGTGAGTCTCTAGTAAAGGTTCACAAATTGCTCTTCAGTCTGATTAGTACAAAGATCAGAGAGAAAATTGTCTACAGCCATTTAATACAGACTTTCTGTAATAAAGAAGGGAAGGACATTCAATAAGTGAAGCTGGGTTTGTGCTTTACCTGTCTACATTTTTTTTCATGAACAACAAAAACTACAAACTTTCTAAGCACAAATTCTTCTCTGACCATTAACCAAGTGATAAAGAACAAGCAGTTAAAAACATAGACAGAATTCATTTTTACTGCCAGATTTCCTAGCACAGATCTGGATAACACCTTTCCAGGATCAGCTAGCTGTCAGAGATTGTCCAGTTTACTGAGCAGTAAATATCTGAAGCCTCCCTCTCATCTCCACCATACAGTCTTCATTGAAATGCATGACTATGGTGTTCTCCTTCATGCCCATGCTTATGTATGGAGTCCAAATTGTCACATAAGCAATGAAGACTGTCCTTAAAATCAAGCACACAGATTCTAGCCAAATCTGTTACAGAGATTCTCCCAGATTCTTACCTGTGCTTCTCTAAAAATATAAGGTCCTAGTTCTTTCCTGTGCTCCAGAATCTTCTTTGCTTGTGCAGTTGGGATGTCAATCTGCAAAGCTGGAGGTACCGCAGAATTAATAAAGCAGTCGATAATAGCTGTGATCTTTTTCTGAACTGTGGTATCATCACAATGAGAATGGCACAAGTCCTGAAAGACGAAAAATAGCATTTTCAGTCAGCGGAGAGAGAGAGAAGACCCTTTACAGGGGCCAGTGATCAAAGAGTAATAGTCATACAAAAATAATTATACAATTGATTTCTTCAGCATGTAGGACAAAATTTTTATAGCAAATATGCACGGTCAAAGACATAGTTAAGACATGAATGGGACTTCCTGGTTTGCAAATGCAGATATATAGCAATCGTTGCTTTTAGGTGATAATCTCTGCCTGCATGTTCTGATGGAACAGGATAGTTTTTATCCTGCATTCAGTCCAAGTACTTTACTGGCAAATAGGAGGCATTTCTGAAAAGAGAAACACACCTGCAAGTGTGAAATGCACTGATTTTCACAATGAACCTGCTATGACTAGCATAGCCATGCTAAGTAAAAGACAAATAAATGCTCTAAATACTCCAAGAAAAGAGGGGAATTATTTAGAGGGTACAAGATATTATAACCAGGAATGTTGGCACAAGAGGGGAAAATTTCAGCTACCAGTACAATCTTCCATTCATCGAAATCTTCTAGTTTCCCCATTCATTAAGATTTTCTAGTTTCCCAAAACCTCAGTGTTTGAAATAACTCTGTGCAGAACAGTATACAAAACAAACCTGAACTTACAAGGGTGAGATCTCAAAGAAACACTGAGGGTTTTCTACTTTTTTTAACGTGATCCTATTGTTCTTGTAAAACCTGTTATTACTGTGTTTTTCACACTCTGACGATGCTACCATTGGATTTGACAGGAAGGAAAAATAATTCCAAGATCTTCCTTCAAATGCTTTGAAACACAAACTTTTCATCTATCCATAAATATCAAGAAATTTCTATAACACTAGGAGATTGTCACATATATCTGCTAAAGACACAATAAGCACTGTAGAGAATTTTCAGGACGAGCACTCTCTAAATGAAGAATGTGCATTTAGTTTTGGTATAGAAGGCTGGATATTTACTTTGCAAAGAAATTAAAACCAGGGCTTTTAACCAGAAATGTGGTATGTGAAAGAGCTGGTTTGTTTTATTATGAATACTTTTTAGTTTTATGAAGGAAAAAAAGAATGATAACAGCCACAATGAAGAAAGTAAGGCAATACAAAAACATGTTCAATGTATTCTAAGAATATATTATGACTTCCTTTGCTCATCTAGCATAGAAGAAAAGGCAGAGATCTATAGTAAGAGGCAAGACAAACAAGCCATATGATATGAAGAGGGATGAGACCTGAGGATAGAGGAACAGATGGAAATGATCCACAGAGTTCTATTTCTTCATATTTGTTTAAAAAAAAAAAAGTTTTTGTTTTTTGATTGTCCCAAGATGTGCCGCCAGCCTGATGCGTTACAAGGAGCAATGCAGTCATTGACTCCTAAAGGGAGTTCTGTCTAAACTGATGGCATGATAGGGCTCAGACAATACAAGTATGCACTGTGCAAAGTGCTGCCCACGTCTTTGGCAATATTCCTCCAGTTCAGCCTGACCCATAACACTCCTACTAGTCCAGCCCTTTGCTTCTATAAAGAGCATCAACTGCCAACCATGACAATTTGCATGCATGTATAAATGTGGTCAGATTGTACTTTTTCTTGATAAGAAGACAAATAAAATTAACATAAATGAAGGAGAGAGGGTGGGACATAAAACAATGAAGGCTTTCTTCAGAGAGCAGATCCACAAAGAAAATAGTCTAAACTACACTCCACGTTAATTTGCAGAAAGTTTCCATGTCCTCCGCAATGTAGCAATTAAGAGTCACAAATCTGAAAAAACATCAAATATTTTGAGAATTATTTATGTCATGGAACTTCAGGTGCCTTCATGTCAAGTTTCTAGTCTAAGCTAGTCACTCTGTAACCAAGACAGAGACAGCAGCAGCCCCAGAAAGCATTTCAGCCGATGATTCCTCGCTTTGGGATCAGAGACTCGGGGGGTTGCCCCCTGGAAACAGAGGAGCTTCGGCTTCTAAAGCAGACCCCAAATTCAAATGTGTAAAATTAAACAGTGAAAACACATCCACATGCCTACAGCAGGATCTCCAAATGCTGCTGCAGCATGAACTGTGTTTACCTCCTAATTTCTGAGCATGTTAGCTAACCTCATGCCTGCCTGCCTGCCATGTGCACACAGGCTATGTTCAGGAGCCCAGCAGAGGCTCTGCAGTCAGCAGTATCCCAGAGGCAAAAGGAATGAGGAACAAGTAGAAGATCCATGGTGCCCCTTTATTCAGCCCAGGGTGCTACTAGGAGGCTGCAGTGTGATTTAAAGGCTCACACCAGAGTTTCCCCATTGTGTTTCACCCTGCAGCAGCAATTTCACAAAGGGGCACGTATTCTGGAGAGAGGCAATCCCTCCTGACCTTCCCCATCACATTTCACCTTGGCCACATCCTCAGCTGTAGTGAAATGTGACTGTACAGAGTGCAAGGGAGCTGGGGTCTGCATTGTACATATGAGCTTTTTGGGTAGGTACTATTTTTATGTCTGTACATTTGATTGAATTTTGAAGTTTTCTCTGATTTTTGAGGGATTACCAAATTCAGCAATAATCCCATTTTTTACAGTATGTAACTATAAAGACAGAATGAACGTTTTAATGCTTGCATATTTTCTACTGCTCAACAGATGTATACCAAAACCTGGACATTAGCTAGTTAGTAGTGTCCCTTTAAAGACTCAGAAGAATGTTACAGTTTGAAGAAGCATAAAGAAATACAAGGATAATAAATTCAAGTCATTAAAAATAGCTACCCTGAAGAAGTGAGGATTTTCATCGAAGAAACAACAGCTTAACAGTGAAAGAGGTTTTATTATGAACAAGAAAATGCCTAGAGATATTCTTGTTAAAATTCTCCTAATATGCAGTAATGGATGCATTTGCTCACAAATTGAATGATATTCCCCTTGCTCCCTTTTACCACCATACCTTATATTTCTGTACCTCCTGCCAAAAGAGCACTCCATTCTCCAGTAGGTCTCCTTTCAGTGACACAAAGCATTGAAACTGATTTGCTGTCACTGGATTCAACAGTGCTTTGCGGAAAGCAATTATTTCACTAGATGAAGAAACCCACTTATTGTCCACATGCTGTCAAAAGAAGAAATAAATGCACCAAATAAACTTTGTTTCAAAAAGCAATAACAAAGGCATTAGTTAGAATAAACTGTCTGATTCTTATCTTTGCACTGACCCTAACTTTCAGTAGTTTATGAGTTTATGACATGGATACAATAGAATGTGGCAAGGTTTCATTTCTTTCTTTCCTTCTTTTTCATTTTGTTTCCACTTTGGTTTGGGCAACATTTTTTGGAAGACGTGACAGGAGAGGAAATGACTGACAATGATTTAGACCATATGACTACATACTATAAAGTATGGAAACAGCTATTGTTATTGATTATGGCAACAGGCTACTTTTCTAGAGAACAGTTTGAGTTTTGTGCAAACAAACAACAAAGAAAAAGGAACAGACAAACCACATAGCTTAAAGTTGTAAAATGCTTCTGACAGGGATCTCGCCAACAAAATGAGCTTTGAAATGTGTTGCCATGATCACCAACAGAAGCTGGAGAGTTTGCTCTCTGTGGAATAAAGCTACCAATAGTAAAATAGAATTTAAAGTCATCGGAGACATTTTGGAAATCGTCATGCTGCAAAGCACAGAGTGGTAGGCAGCCAGGAAAGGGTGGAGAAAGATGGCTTATGCAGGGACAGTTTGTTTGAAATGAAGTTCAGGCTGGCCTGCCTTCCTGAACAAACAGTTCTTGTGCTGTCACTGAGGAACAAGCCAAACAACCCCCTTTTGTTATCAGATGGATGAATGAAAACTATCTTCTAACAGTGGTATAAAACTCTTGAAGTCCTGGAGGGATGGAGTGCTGTTCAATGGTCAGCATGGGACAGAAACATTTTTAGTTGTTGCAGACAGTCCTGGAAATCTAACCTGATTCTAAGCTGAAGGTCTTTCTGCAGCTTCTCTTAAAAACAGGGGTTACGCTTAGTGTCCTGCCACAGAACCTGCCAGGGATGAGAGCCTATCCTTGAGAGAGGGTGGGTGGTGACTGTCCAAAGGGTCCTTTGGTTGAAATAAAGTCAGCTCAACTTAAGACAGTAAGATGGGATCTTCTCAGCCCTCCTCCAATTCTCCAAACATGTTCTATCCCCTGTGACCAGGATTTAGGCAACTTTTGGGAAAAATTATTTCTGGGGCACATTCACAAAGGGAAGAACAAAACGTTGCTCCCATCCCTATACTAATATACGAACACTGCTTATTTTATGGGTCAACAACCTTAAAGCAGAACATGGAAAATAACCATCTTCCTGACAAACAGACAAAGGGAAAACTCAGTTAACAGAACCCACATGCACTTTGGATCCCTTTTGAGCTAATGGTTTGCATGGGTAATTGCTGACCAGGTCTCCAGTTTGATTTCAACAGACAATAAAAGTTCAACTGAATAAATGTACACAACTTGTATGTTGGCAATCACAAAGAGTTCACTGCTCTTCAAGAGGAAAAAACTGGCAAACATCTGATGAAATGTATTATTACAAAGGTTTAAGATGTTTTAAAATTGATATTATCTCAGTGCTGTAAGATTAAAATACAATTCTAAATGAAACAGATACTGTGAGATATGATTAAACCTGCCCACTCCACTGCATACTTCACATTCCCTTTTGTGTCTGCACGTAATCCACTCGCAATAATAAATAAACTACCAGATGCTGGAATGAACAGCTTGTCCCAATAAGTCCACTGCATGCAAAATAGAGATAAATGTGAATTAAAGGTACAATACCAGTCTGAGGAGGGTTAAGAGTGCTCCAAAGGCCAGGGCAAGAGACATGTTTTTTTCAAGTATGACCTCTCCAGGCAGGAAGTGAGAGAAATTTACCGTGAACATCCAGCAGGGAGCTAAATTCACCAGTAATGTGAGTAATCAGTCCACTGTAGCCAATACAATCATGCCTGCTTTTGACAGCATTACATTGGGGCTTCACACTGTCAGCAGGGAAATTGTGAAGGGTATGCAAGGTCCAAACAAAAGACATGGTGAAACTCCAGACACAAGAGACACAGTAAACTTCACTTGCCTTCCACATTCTAGTTGTCTTCTCCTGTTTTTGATGTGAAAGATCTTCAGTTATGTCCCTTATCTACGGTTGAACAAAAGATTATAATTGTATTTTTTAACTCTTCTTGTTTCATGTTCAGCCCTCTAATGATTGAGACCACAGTGGTAGAGTAGTTGATATGTCTTTATATGGATCTTTATATCTGAAAATTGTTGTGGACCCACACTGAATGCCATCCCTTGTTCAGCTCTAAATGAGCACATGCTCATTAAGATTGGGGAGTTAGAGAAGACAAGAGGCAATAGCAGTCAAGCTACACTCTTCCGCTGGTTTACCTTACCCATAATGTTCTTAGGGACCACTTGTTAGGAACAAATTTGGGGCTTTTTTTTTTTTTTGTATGAAATGTTTTTAGTTCTTTTGGAAAGCTGTATCAGAAATACAGACTTGATCCTGCAGTTTCTTTGTAGCAAAAATACACCTCAAATCAAGGGCAGACTTTCTGAATAAGGACTATATAGCATGTCCACAATGCTTGGTCACTGTGAATTATGAAGCTGAGTGGAGAATGTCATCTGGTTTCATTTCTCCTAAAATACTTTGTTCAAAGGACCTTTTCATGCTCTGAATTTGCAACAAGAAAGAGAAAAGAGTAGTCAGGCATAAATGGAGTTAGGAAAAGACTCATTAGAGATATGTATTGCCTGTAAACTGTTTATTAGAGTTGAATACAGCATTTTCCAAACTGCATGGGCTACTCTCCGTGCCAGCACAGTGCAGCAGGTGCAAGAAGAGGCATGAGCTAGCTTCCACACCTGGAAGCATCTTAGCCTTATCACATGGTCTTGTGCCAGGGCTTGTAAAGGAGGCAGAGTTCAGCTAAAAAGGGCAGAGGGTTAGAAAATTTTCCCTTAATTAACATAATCATTATTAAAATTACAATTTGTCTTACCAGAACCTATACTTTTCTGATTGCTTACTGCTCTGAATCAATGGAAAGGATCCAGTTCATATGCGCTTCTGACAACACTTCTGACAACCTTCTTGATGTTAAAAAGATGATAGAAAACAAGTTTTATGAATCAATGCAGCATGCATATGTGTCTGCTTGGTGGAACTGTCAAACTTCCTTCTGCTATGACATTGCATTTCAGAGCTGTTGTGGAAGTGCAAAAAACAAAGTCTTTTTGCATCTGTCATCAGCAGGATGATCTCCCTACACAGATCCCAGCCACAGAGGCACTCTCATAAAAGGCAGATGTTAGCTCTGCCCATTCCCCAGTCTTTCTAATGAGCCAGCAGGAGTGAAAGGCTCCTCATTCCCAGTTTTCTGGCAACTTTCTGGAGCAACCAATTGGAACAAGGCTTGTAATAGTTAACCTCCCCACTCAGCAGAATTTCACAAGTCCTGGAGTCATTTCTACAGGCACTGCAGCTCCAGATGGGAGAATATGGAGAGCGTAAGAGAGAGAGAGAGAGAATACAGCATGGGAAGCCCACTCATTTGCTTGTGTTCCTGTCCCCTTGGGGAAATCCTTCACACAAAGCAGCATTTCTTCTGTGTGCAAGTGTATGGCTAGGGCAAAATGGCATATGGAGAGTGCAGCACTACAGCAAAGATTGTAGGAGCCTGGCAGCCTGGCTGGCAGCAGAGCTAACACCAGCTCCTTCAGATTTAGGATCTAACAATAATACTGTCAGCTAGACTAAGCCTTCAGAGGACCTGCCTTCACAATTATCAAGCTAAATGCTTTAACATGTACATGCTAGAGTGTCTCATTCAATGTAAACTGAATGTGAGTTGTGGGCTGCTTTTCCTCTGAACCATTTTATCCCAATGGTAAATTATGAGCCAAACAAAAAACAATGCCTGGATATGTTGCTGCTGTTAAAAAATTACCTCTGCTTGTTCCTCCGACCCACGGTGTTCATCTGCCAGGAACAATGGCAGCCATTGTTCTTCTAATCTCTTCTGGACGCATTGCTGAATTTCTAGCAGAACCGCTGCCGAAAGTTGATCGTGAAGGATTTGTCCCCATCCTCCACCTGAATGCATTAGCTAAGCAATCCAAATACAATAACACATGACATAAACTTTTCTGTATACCAAAAGTCCTTTATCTCTCTACATCCTTGATTTAGCAAAGCATGAGCTTAACTGTAAGCAAAGCATTTAATGCATGCTTACCCAAGGCTCACATGTACTTTTCATAAAAGGGAACAGATTACATTTGTCCCTACCTATAATAGAATACAGACTCTAGCAAATAATACCCCAGCTTGACCAAGAAAATTTCCTAAGTATCAAAATATATCAGAGTACCACAGCTCAGACTTGCTGTCTGTGGCTTTACTGACATACTAAAATAGAAAGCTGGAACAAGTCACTCTGCCTGAAAGACATTTTTACACTTCTTCTGAGCTGTCTTGTGCATGCTCTGGCTGCAGCCTCAGATCAGGGTTTAAGAGATCTGTTCTATAAGGACAGGGAAGGAAGAGCCTGAACAGGAAGGAGGGAACCCCTGCAACCAGAACAGAACCAGATTTCTGGCCAAAAATGTAGGTAAGATTTGAGGAAATAGCTTGGGGAATAAATGGAGTAAAGTTGCTTACGGACTTTTATCTCAGTCCCATTCAATGTGATTGTTCTTTATGAACAGTTTTGTAACTGGTACCTGTTCTTGTTGTTCTCTGGTAGCTGGGCTGTTGGGTCCAAAGAAGTATTTTTTGTTTAAGTATTTGTTTTTAATGTCCTTAGATTTTTCCTCCCTTTTCTCTTTATCCTTGTGGAGCATCTTTCTGAACTGTTCAATATCTAGCCAGCACATGAGATCCATGCTACAAACAAATTTAAACAGAATGTTATTTCAATATTGACTTAATTTCATCAACACTCTAGGGAGTTATTACTTTAACCACAAGCCACCAAAGTGTTCAAGTCCTAAATACCAGGTCAGATTGGACTGAAATTTTATGTCATTTTTTTTTTCTTTGCTAGTACCATCTGGTGAGACCATGCCACTTGCTGAACAGACAGATCAAACACACACCTTAGGGATCTCATTTAGGGTCCCTTCTGGGGTACCCTGAAAGGAGTAACCTCCTCAATGTGCGACTGCTAAATCCACCAGGGACTGTGAACTTGAGCCATAGTGCAGAGCTCACAGAGAGAACGGAAAATAAAACAGATGAGAATTTGAAGCAGTACTGCAGGCTGTGAGCCACTGAGAGATGACTCGACACCCCCTGTTCTGCCTCCTCATCATACCGCCTGAGAAGGAGCAGGGATGACCGTTGGGAATGTCAGCCCCAGAAATCACCCCCTTCCTACCCCATGTGAAGTACTAGAGCTTAAGTCAGTCCACAGTCAAGCAGGCAAAAACAATTTATGGTAAATTTTGTTTCTAGGGCTTTTTGTGGGCCACCTTTTCACAAGTTACTGATAGTAACTTATATCATAGTATTCATAGTAAGTGATGAATAATCTCCATATGCAATTCTTGATTTATATATTGTTCATAATCATTTGAGTGTATACTATCAATTGAAGTTTGTTTTAATGGAACATATATTGGTTTTGTTCTTTAAACCAGAGGACAGAATATGTGACATACCTACAATTTCAGTTTAATTTATATGACTGTTTTCTGATAGTATTTTATTAGCTGAAGTTTTGTGAGCATTTTGATGAGGACATTCACTGTATTTGCAGCAGGAAATACGAAACATTAAATTCAGACAAATGTTTCACTTTTCCATTTGGTTAATAACTGGCCTTTTCAAAGCATTAATCTATGAGTAAAACTTTCAAAAGCATCCAACTGATTTAAGAACAGATGTCTCCCTTTGAAAAGTCTTTTGAGACCCTTACAGACCTAAGTTCTATTGAGGCTGAAATTCGCTCATTTGCTAGTTCATCACAACGTGAGAAAGTTCACCCAAATGCAAGCGATCCAAGTTACTGTGGTTTATGGAGTTGCTCCTTGGCATCTACCTATGACAACTGGTCAAATATGTCCATCTTATATAAAAAGCAAAGTATATAATCTTAAAGTGTGTTAGGTTAAACCATTTACAGTGGTGGCTTATCATAGCATACTGTACTTTTTCCTTTCAATGGATCAGGAGCATGTGCATAGTCAATTAGTCTGGCAAGACTAACAAGTGGTAACCCACTAACCTAAAGTAACACAAATTGTCCTGCAATTGTGTGAAGATAACCTGTATTTATAACAAAATATTAATTAATGGAACTTTGTTTAGTTTCTTACCAGAATTTGTGCCCAGGTAGTCAGCAGCCTGTCCTTCCTGAAATTTGGATCACTTACAATTGGGCAATAACAGAACCATAAATTTTGATGAAGAAGCAAATGACACATTTGTTGCTTCTTGCTGAAATTTTCCAGACTGCATTAGTTCTAGGATCCCTTCAGCTTATAGTACCATTAAGCATTTTTACTGTAGCATGCCAGCTGGACTTCAGAGTTACTAGGTCTGGACCCACTCTAAAACACTGTTTTGTGAGACTTTTTCAAATGTTCTTCTTCATTATGAATTTTTACAAAATAAAATTTTTCCATAAATTAAGCATTTCTCTGCCTGGCTCTATCACTTAAGATGAGACTTGTCTGTGATTAACAGAGAGGTAGGAAGTCCCAGAGGCAATTCAGCATACCTGTCCAGGACCCCATCCTAGCCAGTGACCTGTTCTCTGGCAATTCCTACTATTTCCCCAGTTAGAGAAGAAGTCTAGACCAGGGGTCTCCACAGTGGGGTTTGTGCACCCCAGGGAGGTATGCGAGATGATTCATTGAGGGGCAGAAAGAAAATATTAGAACTTCAGTAGCACACATATATAATTCATAAAAAAATAAATATACATATATTGAGGGTGCGTGCTCAAAAATTTTTTACTGATGGGGTGCACAATCAAAAAGTTTGGAGACCATTGATCTAGACAACTAACTCAGAAGTCACTTGACCATAGGCACCCACAGCATAAGAATCTCCATCTGAACTCATTACCTACAGTCTTTTTGTAGTCAGTGAGCAGAAATAGCCATCTTTAGGAATGATCCATCCAAACTAGTTTTAGATGTTACCTTCAGAATTAGAAGAATTGTGTCCAGAAGTGTGTATTTCTCTCTCTGACTACAAAGGGAACCTATGATGAGAAGCAGAAGTGATGACATTGAGTCTTGGCTAGGGGAATCCTGTGCTAGATGTCCATCTGTGGACACTTTTGAAAAAGCTGACCAATATCCAATCTAAAACAATAGCAGTGCTTGACTAGAAGCAGTAGGCAATATGCAAAGCATCAGCTCATGAGAACCCAGGTTAAAGGAAGGAAGCAACAATTTGCTAGCAGTTACTTAAAAAGTATATTTGCCTTTCCCTAAAACAGGATAGAGATTAGTGTGGGGCTTGGGGCGGGGGGGGGGGGAAGGGGGCAAACTCACATTTACTTCTGCTAGAACTTCTCTTTAGAACTTCCTTTTTAAACAAATGGGCTCGCTTTTTCAAAAACCCTGCATAAACTGTATCTGCTACAAGCTGGTACTTTATTCTGTTCAGAGCAGTGCAAAGACAAAACTGCAATTGCTCTCACACTTTGAGAATAGTGTGGCTGTCTTCTATTTGTACATTTTTATAACATTCAGCTTTAATTTTTAAAATGTACTAAACTGAATCTGTACTAAAAAAGATAAAATTTTACTCATTGTAGACTAATTGCTCTGCTCAGGCATTTGCCACTAATCAAAGTGGAAACTGAAAGCAGAACTGTAACACAAACATGTTGAGACAGGATAATTTTTACCCCCAAAACGTTAAGACAATTCAGTTGTCTGAAAAATGTGCATCTGTATTTCATAAATATACAAACACATTTTAAAAAAATACTAAAAAATGGAAACATCTAGGTAGCCAAGATCCCCAACAAAGATTTCTTCTGAACTTAGAAATGGGTGAAATAATAATGAAGAAACGTACCCAGCAGAATGCTCATTAAGAAAATCCCAGAACTGTTCTAACTTCTCTTTGTCATGGATCAGGTCGGATAGATTAGTACCTGCCAATTCTTTGGGAACTTGACACAAGTGCTGATCTTCTTTGAGAGCATCAAGGCAGGATGGCAGACCAGCGTCAGCAACAGAACTCTGGGGAAGAAATTACTTCACTTGCTTTTTTCATCTCTATATTTTGCTCAGTCTAATAATCCTTGCGTTAGATAACTTCTGTCTCTGTAAAATAGCTTTGAGATTGCTGAGAAAATAGAGTTAAGGCTCCAGCTCTTAATCAGCTTTAGTTTTATGTTTGTTTTAAACATACCAGTGTGTGCAGGTTCCATAATCAAATAAACCAATATATACCTGTAATTTACTTGAAATTGAAGTATTTACTCAAGATTAAGGTCCCAAAATACATTCCACAGACTTTAGTGGAAACTGTCTCGTTGACTCCAATCATACAGTGGGGTCTGATGTTGATGTAACTGACAGAAGACCTGTATTTGTAATTAACACAATGGCTGTCAATCATTCCCCAAAATGTATGGTAGAAATCGTACTACTTGCTTCTCCAAACTGGCATGTAGTCAGTGTTACATTGCTGATACTCAAAGTGTTAACCCTCTCTGATAGAAAAAGAGTTTGTTTTTGTTAGTAGGTACTTGTCTTACCTCATCCTTCTTGGAACCACTCTCTTGATGCAAAGCCTGGAGCTTTCTAAAGTACATGGAGTCCAGCTGTCGAGTTTCTTCCACCAACTCCACCTAATAAAAATAATATCTTATGTCATCCCTACAGTCCACATTATAGAAAGATGGAGAACTGGACAGGCACCTTGCCAGTGACAGTGGATAGAAAAGAATACATTTGCCAGTAATGAGACTGATGTTTAGAAGACATGAGAAGTCACATCCTTGTGAAAAACAATTTAACTAAAAGCTCTGGTAGAATAAAGTTTTCAGATCTGTGTAGGATCACATGTAGATTTCTACAGAACACCACTAAATAACCTAACTGTATCTTTAAGAAAAGAATTTTGTATTTAAAGAATTGCTAAATTATATTGTGCACATAGTGTCTATATTGTATTGTGTATATTGTTTCAGACTTACCTGATTGCCTGTACCAGCAGACTGTATGTCAAAGTGCCGCTGAGAAGCAGAAAAACAGGTTTTGAAACTATGACTCTCAGTGGGAAATATCAAAAGACAGAGTGCCACAGATTTCCAGAAATGGAAATTTAAGACAAGAAAGATGCTATAATATCTAAACAATGAAGGTGAAAGCTGTCAGACTTTCAGTCTTGTCCCCTTCATTAGTTTTATACCAGGTAATGCCTTAAAATAATAAATTGTGCATGATTAGAACTTATGAAGTATTGGCATTTTTAAACTTAATTAGAAGCCTCATGTATATAACTAGAGCGGTTCTCAATGTTATGTGCAAACAATCAGTAACAGCATAACGAATAGTTTGGTGACCCTCTCGACTGACTAAACCATTCAAATGCAGGTTTTAGGATATTTAGTAAAATTGAGCCAATGCATTATACTGATTAGCATGCCCCTTACAAAGATTAGAAAGCTGTGGGTTTAATATACAAGAGTTTATGTGCAAGAGAAGAGTTTTTAAATTAATACTCATTACGCTTTTGTCTAAGTGTGAATACCACACTAATCACCGTGTTATCTGAATGCCTTCAGGCTCAGTGTAACTCTATTCCACTGTTATAAAGTGCTTTTGGGGTATTCTTTCCTTTAAAAGAAAATGTAGTTTAAAAGCAAATAGGAAAATAACTCAGAACATTTTTCATAAAGTTTAAACAGAAAGCAGATAGAGGCAGGATGAGAGTCAACAATAAAAGGGAACTCTCCCGTTTTCATGTTTCATTTAAAGATAAAAATGTAGATACATACTGACCGTGTCCCAAATAAACAATTTTGGACTCACCTAATTCTTGATAAAATATCTTGTTTCATTATGGGCCAAATATATCCTGCTGTATGGTAGAACAAAGGGGAAGAGTAGAGCCAGGGACTGAACAAAATACAAAGCAGACCTTGTCTTTGTGCTGGGAAGGAGTGTGCCTGAGCATCAGCCTGTGCCTAGTACAAAGAGACTCTAGTGCCTCCTAGAACAGGTCGTTTTATGTCTGTGTATTATAACTCTTCATAAATGCATGCATTGTGCACTCAAAAGGATTTAGTTCTGTTTTTTCATGCTCTGATTAAGATGTTTGTGTTATTAGGGCACTGAGAAGTCTGCACGTAACTACACTTGCAAAGCAAAGCATCATCTAAACTGAAAGGGCAATAGATTATCCCTCAGTTAACTCAAGAAGGTATAAACTGACACACGTATTAACTTAACTTAAAGCAAAAGTTTATATTTTCAATTCTTACTTTGGAGCAATTCTTCCGAGTCCTTTTTGTACAAAAATGATGTATAATAATACTCAGCTGAGTCGATAACTTGACTCAGTGAGGACTGGCAATAGATACTAGACAACTAGTATTGATAATACACACGGAAAATATACATTTACAAAAGACTAAAACTAGTCTGATAGAAAGTAAATAAAATTTCAGATTAATGAAAGCATCGATCAATTACACAGTGTTTTGCAGGTCACAAACAATTATAGCTGAAATAGCTTAGAAAAAATTAATTTATCTGAAAGCTTAGAAAAGATACTGAAATGCAAAGAGAATATTTTGCAGATGTCTTTGGATTAGCATACTTCATTTTAGTAAGTTTTTTTCAATATTCAAACTTTCAAAGTTTCTTAAGGAAATTAAGTTATCACAGAATGAGAGAGAGGTCCCCTTATGAATTAATTGGAAGGTATAAAATAATAAATAAATAAATAAATAACTTTTATTATGGGGTGGGGTTCCTATTGGAGTCTCACAGGGATCTGCACTGAGGTTGTTTTTTTAAACATTCAGAAATTATCTGGAAAAGGAGGTGAGTGAGGGGACAACAAAGTTTGCAAAACAATTCCACAGAGTAAAATATTAAATTGACTGTGAAGAGCTGCAGGATTTCAGGACACTTTAACGTCTGCATGATAAAAGGGCAGCTGAATTCAACAACAATAAACATTAAGTCATTCCAGTGAGCTCCAAATTAGGGCTTTCCATTAGTTGTTATTACTTAGTAAAGAGATCTTGGAATCATTGCAGATGGCTATTAGCTTACATTTTGCACATCCACTCAAAGTTCACCAGGAGTCAAAAGGCAATTAGAATCATAGGAACAATTAGGAAAAGAACAAAGAGCAAAACAGAAAACATGATTCTGCCACTGGATAATCCTTAGTGCATCCAGATCTTGAGTACTGCTTGCATCTCATCAAAAGAATATAAAATAACAGATAGAGATGGGGGTGATAAGTGTAACAAAGGTATGGAATACCTTCTGTAAGAGGAGAGGTCAAATAGCCTAGGATTCTTGAGTTTCAAAGAGATGTAATTGAAGTGGGATACAACAGAAACATGTAAAAGGATAGAAACATTGAGAATATGCCAAGATAACAATTGTTCACTGCTCCTCATGGCATACAAAACTAGGGCACCGGGTGAAATTCTCAGAGAGGGGTTTGCAAACAAACCAAGATAAGCATTTTTTTCTCCTATTGCATGATTAAACCATGAAACCGACTGCTATAGTGAGGCTGAAGATATAAAATGACTCAAGACACATTTACATAAGCCCATAAGGAAAAACATAACCTCATCAAAGACTATTAAACAGAAAAATGTGGATAAGACCTCTGCTTCATGAATCTCCTCAGCTGCAAAGTGCTGAAGAAGCTGGCAATACTGCTGTAAAAATGGTGATGCTTCATCTAAGGTCATAGTGGAGAAATGCAAAACCCTGATTGCCCATTGTAAGTTTCTCCTTCCATATCCAAGAGAGAGATGTTAAAGACTTAGAATTAGAAGTCTGACATACAGGTGGTAACTTGCAGGTAAGTTTACAAAGAGCAGAGCACCACAGCATCCACCACTTCCTCTACCATTTCTTGTTCTTATTTGTCAAAAGCAGAGTCAGGATTGCAGCCATCTCCTCTGACCTCCATGAGCCTGCTCAATTCAAGCCTTCAGAGGCTTTCTGGGATTAGAACTGACTACACAACTGAGCCACCTACTTCAGGAAGCCAGCAGGGCAGCTATCTAAAAAGTGTTCAGGGCAAATACAGCTGGATCACCATATCACATTTCCTCTTATGCTAAGCAGTAGCTGCACTTTAATTCTAAACACCAAGAAATACTTGATACAATTAACATGGACCTAACATCACTGTATTGACACTTGCCCTGGTTTTGGCTGAGGTAGAGTTAATTGTCTTCCTAGTAGCTGGTATAGTGTTATGTCTTGGATTCAGTATGAGAAGAATGTTGATAACACACTGATGTTTTCAGTTGTTGCTAAGTAGTGTTTAGTCTAAAGTCAAGAATTTCCCAGCTTCTCATGCCCAGCCAGCAAGTAGGCTGGAGGGGCACAAGAAGTTGGGAGGGGACACAGCCAGGGCAGCTGACCCAAATTGGCCAAAGGGATATTCCATACCATGTGATGTCATGTCTAGTATATAAACTGGGGGGAGTGGGGCTGGGAGGAATCGCCACTTGGGTACTAACTGGGTGTCGGTTGGCAGGTAGTGAGCACTTACATTGTGCATCACTTGTATATTCCAGTCCTTTTATTATTATTATTGTCATTTTAATATCGCTGTTATTATTATCATTATTAGTTTCTTCCTTTCTGTTCTATTAAACTGTTCTTATCTCAACCCACAAATTTTACTTTTTTTTTTTTGCAATTCTCTCCCTCATTCCACTGAGGGGGGGGGGGGGGGGCAGCAGCTGTGTGGTGCTTAGTTGCTGGCTGGGGTTAAACCACGACACACTAGAAACAGCTTATTTTGTGCTTATCATGAAAAAACATAGAAGGCTTGTGGGCAATCCATCATAAGAAAATTACTTTTGATCAATGATAAGATTGCAGAAACATGACACTTCCTGAGTCCAAAGAGAAATTTTGCCATAGCAAGATCCATTCCTCCCTAATTCTCAGACCAAGGGGTCTGTGAAGCCTGCACCTTCCTTTCAGATGGGAAGCCTGCTCTCCATAGGAAGCTCAGCCTACTCCATGCATCAGCATAGAAAGGAGTGGGTAAGCAAAACATCCTGTAATAGTTCTCCCTTCCTGACTATAAATGTAACAGGGTTGCATATGAAGGCTCCTGTGATTTTCTTCCCCAGCATAAGAATCTTTCATGGTGTCATCGAGATCAGTTACCTTTCCATAAGTACATTTGTCTGCTTCCACCATCTTCATCCACGGTTCTAGCAGAACAGTGAGGATATATTCTTCTGCTAGGTCAAAAAGATCCTCAAAAGCTGGGTCAATTTTCTGATAAATCATGTTTTTCTTACTCTGATGAAGTCCAATGTCCATATTGGCAGATGGCGCAATGTAAGTTGCATAAAGGAACTACAATAAAACAGAAGAAAACTGTTTCTTAGCCATCATCCCTTCCAATGGTCACAGCCCATTGAAGGAGAGAATTAATGCATATTTGTCCCCCACTGCCCTGCTGTATATTCTGAACATATATCTAATTACACCTGCCTTGTTTTTACCAATATTACTGTTTTGTCCAAAATTCAGTTATTGCCATAACTGACCTCTCTGCCATTTTTACTCCTACTTGTTAAAATGGTTAGATCACAAAATGATGCTTAATGTAATTTTTGGTTGGAGATATTTGGCTGATTCTTAGTTGGGTTCAGATAACCACAATCATTACACCAACTGCATTCTTCATGAAGTCACATTGTTGTTTTGCAGAACATCTGCTGGGCCAATTTGTGAAGGAGTCTTACTTCTTCTGAATAGATGGGAATTTGTAAATGTAAGGTTAAAATTAATGAAAAATTATAAAATTTCATTCTGTGTGGAGATTCTCTTGCACAGTTCTTTGACATTGGTGAAACTCCATCATGGTACAGGATCTGTAACAGAAGATACCACTGCACAACTGAGGTCTAAATCCTTACCAAAGCAAGGTTTACAACATGCTTTTTTATGAAGTACACAGAGTTTGCTATTCAACATGTTCAAACAGAAGAAAGCTGAACCTGGAGAATGTTTCCTTCTCACTAGCAGCTCATTCTTGAAGCATAAAGTAATTTTTTTATTTATTTCAAATGATTTTATTTTTTTTCAAATAGTCCCCTAAGTCAAATTCTTGGTTTTTAAAGGTTTCATAAGTTGCTATGAAAAATAACATTGAAAACTCAGAGAAAAACACTTTCTTCCAGAAATATCTTGGAAGAAGATATTCCAGAATATCTTCCTAATACATCATGATTCTGACTGCAGCTAGGAACTCAAGTGAAAAAAGATGCTGCCATAATAAATTTCATATACTTATAAATGTTTTCTCTTCTTCATATTGTCAAAGTCTAACTAATTTTCAAACATATGGTCAGGGGGTCAGAGCAGTAGCATAAATCAGAATTTCTCTCTAGGATGGCACTGAGGAGCCTATCTTCACTATTTATTATCACACAGTTTTGACAACAAAGAATGCAGGTTTCTGATAATTCTCATTTTCCTTATGTTGCTAGAATCCAGCTGTAACTAGCAGATGTACAAAGCAGTAGAAAAAGAAATAATACATTTACTCAGTGTTCAAGCAGTAATAAAACACTGTTGTGTTTAGATTTCAGGCACAGTGGGAGAATGTTTGAATACATTAAATAATTGTGTTTCTGTTTGTTTTAAATGAAATTCTGATTTATTAGACTCTTTCTTTCAAACAGCAACAGTACCAGGCTACATCCCCGTTATTTTGGACCTTAACAATTTGAAACAGACCCGTTAGACTCTCCTGATATCAGGTCACTGAGGAATACAAGGCTATGATGGCTGACATCCATCCCCCAGTTAGAACTTGTTATGATTACTATATTTACTGTCTATGCAGGATTTCACCCCCTTTCTACATAGATCTAATCCCTGAAAACAAAGATGGTTTGTGGCTATTGTGGCCCATGTTATCAGTGCAATAAAGACCTGCAGGTGTAAGGGTAAGGTCAAAGAATGAGGACATCCACAGGAAGAGTCCTAGCTGAAGAACAAGACCACATTTATCCTAAATTATGCCCTTCTAGCAAATCCCTGAATAAATTTAAATTTAACAGAGACAGCATTAATTAGATTCGTAGTGATTTCAAAAGTTGGAAGTTATTTTGAAGAACCCTAACACCAGTAAAGTTTCAGTTACATCATGTTCTAGTCTGATCCAAAACATTTAACATATAAAATAGCCAAATGAGAAGGGACCAGTCCAATGATATAAAGATGTGGTATCTTTAAAAATAGAATTTTTAAAGAGAGGTTAACCATTTTATTTGTCATTAGGGCTACATTGCTCCACCTGTTATGACTCATAAAACTACACAAGGGATCTGTAAATTGGTGAAAAGGGTCCAAAATAGGTCCTCGATATTTTAACACACATTTAACCTGGTTCCTCAAATGGCTGATCATTTTTAGCATAGTGTTAAGAATAAAATCAAAATGAACACTCCACAAGTTTCTTGGGCGGAACTCTTCTTTCCCCCATGATTTTGTATAAAATGGCTTACCTTGAGTATATTTGCCGCTCTTCTTTAGAGCTGACAAAAAGTATCAGCCTACAGAGTCAGGAATTGCCCAGACTAAGGAACCTTTGGCCAAAAACTATTGACAATCTGCTCACATAAACACTGTTGTAATGTATTGCCATATTAGGGACAGCCTTTGCAGGCTGCTCTACCTGCAGAACTGCCCCCAGTCCTGTATAATTTCACATGCAAAACTGGACCATAGTAAAGACAGACATTTTTTTCCAGAAACAATAATTAGGGTTGGTAATACATGTGAAGCAGAAATTTAGACGTGGTTAAGCTAGCTGTAGAAGTACACTTTTCCAAACCCAAAGGGCCAGACCCTTAGTGCTATAATCAGGATGGCCTCTTCACTTTTGAAGGATGCAGATTTACAGTGCCTGAGAATTTGGCATGATGCCATCTTTTTGCTTAAATTCTTCTAAGAATCCACTGCTATGGGATTTGACCCACCAAGTAAAAGTGACAAAGTGAATGCACGCACTTGCAGATAAAGGAGAAATGAGAAGGAGCTTTCATCCCTGTGCCCCTTGCTGAGGGTTCAGGCGCATCTGTAGATCTGTACTGATTTGAATGCAAGGACTGCAAGAAAACCAACTGCAAAGAGTTCTAGACATGCCAAAAAAGTGGCAAAGTGTCTGTGTTCACAGCCTTCAACACTGGACAAGGAAGTTAGCAAGATATAGGGGAAAAATACATTATATCCTTTAAAAAGGAATATTCATAGCCTTTTTTTGACTCCCATGTCATGGAAGTCCTGTGGTTTTCTGAATCTCAGTGGAATAGTGAAAATGTTATATTAGCCAATCTCCTAAAGGATCAACAGGAAAAAAATCACATTAAATTAACTTAGAGGTTATCAAATTAATACAAAAATCTTAAGCATGTGCCATCATACTTCATTTATTCAATGCTTTATTCCTTTTGTAAAATACAAAGAATTTTCCTACCTGCCAGCTATATATTTTCCTATAAATGTATCAGAATAAGTAATGGATTGAACACAAAACCCTATCTGGAAATTTGGTCAGAGTTTGCATCTTGAAATTACTTACAATTGAACAAATCTGAACATACAAAATGCTTAGGAAATTCAGGTTAAGACTTTGGCCTCATTTATGACTTCCAAATCAGGGATTGTTCAGGCCTTGGGTTTTGGTGTGAATTCATCCCCAGATGAGAAGGCTTTGGTAAGCAATCTCAGAATAACTAGAGTGAAGCAAGAAACACGGAAAAGATGTAAGTCCAAGTGCTTTGTATTGCTGCCCAAAGGCGTGGATATTGCTCTGATCTAAACGAGGGGCTTGTGCAGCTGCCTGACAGAATCATATGATGGAAGAATACAATGCACTGGCTGGTCTTAAATGGAAAGGCTAAACTGCCTTAACCCCCATCATCACTTTCCACTAACATAAATCTTGTGTCTGACCCTAAAAGTTCACAGTAATGATAACTCCCTTTATCTAAATTGATTCTAGTGTTAAAATATTGTACTTCCCATAACTGTATTAAATTTTGTAACTCTAAATAACTATTTTTTTAATCCAAAACTACAATATGTGTTTCTTTATTGCTTTTCTTTCCCAATTTATTTTACACTCCTGTGCTTATGTTTATAGTGAATAACCATATAAGTTCCTGGATGATTACCAGTACTCATCATTTTACTTATCCATCAGATTTCATTCTCACTGTAGTTTCTTTCTCTGGATGACTGAATATACACCTTAGAATGCATTTTCTTACTCTATCGTAAAGCTGAGATAAAAATGCCTAACAAATTAAACAATGAGTAGCAGATACACAGCAATCCAGGTTTGCTCTTGTTTCTAACAGGAAGCAGGGAGAACACATACAGAATACTCTGGATGTCTCTTTCTGTAATAAATAGTAAAATATATATGATGATGTGTTGTGTGAATCTGATCCACATTCTCTTAGGAGTATATGGAATTACTATCTTATTGTGCCAAAGGTGAGCGCAGAATTTGGGAAGGCATCTCTTCCATAAGCAGACCTTGTAGATTGGATGCAGCTTGACTCTTTACTGTGTTCCAATGAAAACAAGAATAATTTTTCTGCAGCCTTAAAAGGCAAGCTTGAGAATGATACCAAATGTTGCAGCACATGTGTTGATTTGTTATGTTACATTTCAGCTGTTAGTTATGCTAATGGAACAGTTTCACATATTTCGTTTTGATGTATTTACTTTAATGGCTATGTGTATGTAGCTCTCTGCAATTGCCTGGTAACACTGATTGTACGATGTTCTGCTGTCACCACCAGGCCAGCACTGGAAACAAGATAAGAAAAGTAAAAAAAGACCTGAGCCTTATTTTTCAGCTATGCAACCACTGCAGGAAGAGTGTAAGCTGGTGTGAAATGAAAACAAACTGAAAATCATCATGGACCATAATTAAGATTTAGCCTGCAACAAAACATATAGGAAAGTGAAGACACAGTCTAGATATGGTTAATTTGCATGCCTGTTGTGAGCGGGGTCCCTAGTCACACATGGGCCTGGGCAGATATGGGAGACAGTCAGTTGCCCTTGGCCTCAGGCCATAAGTAGAGCTGGAGGAGAAAACAACTAAATAGGGTAGCAGTTCAAGTTAGCCAGTGTGTGTGGCAGGACAGAGGGAGGACTCTGTGCCTCAGCCTCTGCTTGGAGTTTCTGTACAAGTAACACTGATTCAGGTGAGAATTCTGGACAAATATGCAAAATTTTTTCATTTGCCCCAATAAAACCTCCAAGTAGGAAAAGACGACAAATTCAAGGAAGTCCAGATGCTCAGTAACATAAGCCATACAAAGAGATTATTCTCCACTGTTCTCTACAGATATTTGTTCCAATGACATGTGAAGTAGCTCTATTACAGCGTATATTGAAATATGCAGATAGGATATACTCCTACACAAGGTTTACAGAGGAAAAACAGACGAAAGTTTCACAAAGTGATTTTAAAAGTTGCTTGGAATTCTTCTAATGATATCACACTGCTTCAGCCTCCTTCCCTGGCACTATCGGACTATTCTGCAGTCAGTAACAGCTATCAGCACCCATGGCCTGTGGTGAACCCGTTGACTTTTGTTTTATTCCCTGACTTAAAGTGCATACTCAATTAAGAATGCTCATTTATAGGAAATATCAGTTCCGCTTGACAGTACTTGAGGGTCTAAAGATCAAATGGGGGGGGCGGGGAATGATGACTGCAAAAAGATCATAATGATGCCCTGACAGTCAGAAAAAGAAAAACAGGACTGACAACTGAAAGGTCCATTTTCATGACTAAGGTAATTTTCTAAGGTCTGGACTGTAAGACCTGAAATTCTAACCCACGGGAGATGGAAGGAAAGCTACAGCACAATTATATGATTTATAAAACATATTATCTTTGATGTTAACACTAAGCAGACAGTTTCCAAATATGACACAGAGTAGCAAAGGGGAGATTAGGTAAACTGAGTATAATAGATAAAACTGGGAACAGGCAGGAGAGTCTAGAAATCAAACTATGCATGTTTAACATTTAAATCAAGAAATTCCATGGAAAAAATCCAAAGAGCTTCTTTTATTGTCCACAAACCAGATTTACTTTGGTGTGGGTTGCCAAGATTTGGAAACTTTTCTACTTTCTATCTTCCTTTCAGTCTTTACACGAATAAATGTATTTGTGAAGGGAATGAACAAATGTATTTGCAAAGGGAAAACACATTATTTACGACTTACTTGAGCTTGCTTGCATATTTTAAAAGGATGAAGAGTTTCTTGGTAGAAAAGCTGATGATAAGCCTGTAGGTCAAACCAAAAGTACACACTGTTCTTCCACAACTAGAGATGAGAAATATTGTAAGTTATTGCTACCCAAATATCACAGCTTTATAAAAGGTTGACTTTCCAATGCAAGTAATTATTTAGCTCCTTGGGGTCATCATAAATCAAGCTCAATTTAAAATGGATTTAATCTTCTGTTACATACTGGCAGAAGGACAACATATTTAATGGCATCGTCACTGTGATACTATATCTTTTATTGTATCCTTTATGCATAATTGGCCATTAAAATTGTTAACATTGTAGTTAACATTTGAAGAGTAACCACATTTCAGTGGCACAAAGCCAGTACTAAAGAAGAAATGCTGATAATGGACATGCAGAATTTGTGCCATGGTGAAATAGCATTTTGCAACAATAACCAAAACAATTAAATATTGTGTACTTGACATATGTTACTGGGACTATCATTACATTTTTATTACATGCATTTCTGAGGCACAGAGTCTTGGCCCCATTTCATCATAAATTCAAACAAACATCAAATGATCTTTCAGAAGGAGTCTAGATCTTTCCCCAAGTCCTCTGTTTTAATCATGTGCTTATGGGGTTTGGATCTTAAAAATACCCTGAAACTCCCATCACTGGACAATAAAGGAAGTGTTCCAAAAAGATAGGGGCAAGGAACAAACTGTAGCCTGCCAGACCTGGCATATGAGTGAAATAGGCTCCACAGTTGTAGACAAAACCTTAAGGAAATAATTTTCAAAGGAGTCTGGCACCTGCAAAGGCTAGAGGACATGTGGACGGGTGCCTATCTCTTATGAAAAAATAAGTTACTTTTATTTAGATTTCTATCTATACACATTTAACATTTTTAGCTGAAGGTATTCAGCTTTGGAAACATTGGCTCTTGCCTTCTGGTAGCCAAAGGCATTTCTAGCTACTGCTGCTGGATTCTGGTTTGTGCCAGCGGTGAAACAGATGTCCATCTTGATTGCATTCAAATCTCCCCTAAAGACTCAATTTTTCTGCAAAGCCACTAAACACTGACTCAGATTCATAACTTGTTCCAACCAATCCTCAATTTACACCCAGCAATGAATGATGGATCTGCTGACTGCAGAGAAGAAATAGTGTTATGTTTCTCAGAAATCCAAGAAGCTTCGTGGAAGCAGAAGAACGTTTTTAAAACATTGGAGATTTTGGACATCACTAACCCAACAAGTAAGGAGGCAGATTATCATGAGTAATAGCATAGCAGATTTTCCATCTTTTTTAAAAATGTTTTTGTGGGTTAAGACCTCATTTTTTCTGCCAAGTTAAAGGCTAGTTTTTAAAAATGATTTGTCTTTTTTTATCCCTGATGGTACAATCAGATTTCCAGTAGGTTTGAGACAGTTAGGATCTGACAGCTTGGTTAAGACCTGTCATTAGTTTGAATATACACATGAACAGTTTATTGTTGTTGAGGGATTGAAGTCTCACAAGTAATAATTCATCCAGTCATCAATCTTTCTTTCTCCATTTTTTTTTTCAGTCTGGCTGCCCTCTATAACTTGGCATTCAGTCAATTGTGGACTAAATTATCACAGGGTAGGAAAATGCTCATACCTTATTCCCTGACTTCTCACAGAAGTGTGTGAAGTAGTAGCCTGCTCTGTTCTCCAGATAAAGAGACTGGAGCATGCTTTCCATTCTTGATCCCCCTAAGACAGCACTGCCAGCAGCACTTTTCCCCTGGACAAATAAAATATAGTTATACAGCAAGGAATAACAGGCTTTCATTATTTTCAAATGTCAGTACATTGCAATGAAGGGCCATGCAGTGTGTTCAATTAGTATCTTCATCTCAAGAAACTAGACTCCATTTTCTACTACATATGCAATTGATCATAGTTCTCCATACCATTTTCCCACTAAGAATTCATGTCCAATGGAATAAGTCTGATGACTGAAGGCATGCAGAGTAGCAAAATGACCATAGCATCCTTTAGGTGGTTCCTCAACACTTGAAACAGAAAAACAAACCTGGCCTTAATTCTGTCATTAACTCTTTAGCTCTGAATCCAGGCAACTCCAATGATACTAAACCATATCACTTAGCTGTCAAAAGTTGTCTCAGCTCAGGCTACTGTGTTTTGAATTAAGAGAAGTTAACAGGTGGTTATTTGGTCAAGCCTCAAAACAATTAACTATCGTGGAACAAAAGATATGTCTCCTACGGTTACACCACTGACATCAGCAACAAAAGCATGAGTATTTTAGGGGCAAGAAATCCATGCTCTTTACTATGGCTAGCTCCTGGAGCATTTGAGGAAGAATACGTCCATTTTGACAATGCTCACAGAGAAGCTAGAGGAGGTTACAAAGTAGTAAATTAGCTTCTGATGATCACAAGGGAGAAACTTTGGTTGGCTTGCTGTCTCTGATAGCAGAAGTGGGAGCAGATGAGTATGGTGGCTGACAACCAGCTTCCTTCTAAACAGTAACAGGGATGGAGAAGGGCAGGAGGAAGCCAGACTTCTGAAGCAGAGTAGGAAGATCCCCCTCCCCAGTATGATTTTAAACTCTGAATCCCTGCATTCCCCTTTGCATCATATCTGTGATGGCAAATTTTGGGGTCCTGCCTGTAGGTTCCAGTCTAGCCCTGTAAGTGTACATGGATACTGTTTTCCTCCCTCAGCCAGAGGGAAACTCTGCATGATGAAGGTGTATAAAAACTAATAGTTAATGGTTTGAATGTTTCCTGAATATACATTTCTAACTACAAATGTCCCCTGATTGCAAAGACTAGCCTTTTCTTCTGTCAAAATTAACAAAGAAGTAAAATGATTGCAATGAAGTAATAAACAAAATATGATTTTGATGTGAAAAGCAATCAATCATGTGCTGAAGTGATCAACAATGATGTGACCTGCATATGTAAACAGGCCCAGATTTCATAATATGTTTGGGGTTTTTTTCAGTTGTGAGGCCATGGGTATCAATACCTCCGTGAAACAGCAGGCTGTTTCGAGACCATTCCAAAAACGTGAAAGGTTTTGGATATATTCTAAATTGCCAGATCTTGATATGTCATATGTTCAATTTGTCAGTATTTTCACAGTTATTGAGAAAAGGCTCTTCTGTGCAGCCTGTCGCTCCTGAGGTTTGCTGAATTGAGGGCCTGCTTAGCAGGCAATAATTCAACAAAGAAAAGAATGAAGTACACAAGCAATAAAGAGGAATTGTACAAGTGAAGCATTTTCCTTTTATGAATTTTACTATTTTAATGACTTTCTAGGGCAGATTCAGTTTTCCCTGTAAGTCTGGTATACTTTCCCAGGCAACAATTCCGCTGAAGCATTTATCCAGTGAGTTTTCTATAATAGCCTACTGAACATATGGTCACCATGGAGAAGATCAACACTTTCTAGTGAAAATAAACCTCTATATGTGCCATGATTTCCTATCAAATAGGTGACAGATACCACACAGAAAATGCTGACATTCTAATTATACCTCTGCATAAGGCCTTGGCATTCATATAATCAAACCAATTTCTCCCCATCATTGACTACTTCCCCTTTAATACCACAGAATAAAGTGTTTTAACCCATGATTCAAGACAACTAATATTTCCTACTAGTACTTACTGGGAGCAGCTCAGCATAGGTGTACTTTCTATGACCCTGGTATTTTGAGTCTTTGGTGCCATCCAAAGCTAAGCAATGAATCATGTCTCTGCTTACTGACTTTGGCCTGGATTCACAAACAAACAGAATTTTCAATATATATTTAATAAAAAACTAGGGCTGCTGATAAAATAGACAACTAAGAAGGGGCATGAGAGAGGTAGAATGACATAGTGAATAGTAGAGGAAAAAGTACATGGAGTTCAAATGTATAATAAATGTAAAAAATGTAGAGGAATTTTCATGTAGCCCTGTGGAAATCACTGGCACAGTGTATCTTTGAGGGCAAGTGCTTGAGACAGGTTAAAAGAATATGAATGTATGTAGAGAATACCAACTATTACACAAGAGACAGTAAAACACTTGTATTTGGAGAAATAAACCCTTCTGTGTTGTGGCACAAGTGAGAAACTGATCAGCCAGGGAGGAATTCTCCATGCACACAATCTGTACCATAACTGTGCTTCACTAAGCAGATTATTGTATTAAAGAAAAGTATTCATGAAAACAGTAGGATCTAAAAGCCTTTCATAAATATTTGAGGTATATTGGTGTGCAGGAAGATGTACAATGGACTTTTGTACTTACCACTTTCTACTGCTAGAAATGTCATCCCTTCGGGGGCTCTGACTTGATCTCAGGGTAGGTGATAATCCTGATGACCTCCTCAAAGAGAAATTTGGAGTAGCTAGTTTTAATAAAGTTGTTGGTGAGCTTGTTCTACTTTTCTAAAAGACATAACAGAAAAATAAGGCAATTTTGATTATTTTTCCACCTTCCTGTTATCTTAACATGTTCTCGTTAACTACTCAAAAACATTCAAGGGGGTTTTCACACTATTTTTCCTTGTCAATCACAATATATAAAACCACAAATTGCAAATATCTTCTCTAAATATCTTGCAAGATTTTTCAGCACACCTTAACCACTATAGCTTAAAAACTACATCTTTAACAGGTAGAAATATGTTACATGCACTTTGTACAGAATTACAAAGGATGTCAGGTGAAGAGCATGTGAACATGTTTTGTGAATCCTTAGGAAGATTGCCTTAAGTAGCTCACTGTAAGACAGATACAATCACTCAGACTAGGAAAGAAAGGGGGCATTCTGCCACAGCATCGCTGACTTATTTTTAACAAAATCATGCTATGACTTCTTGGAGATGCCAGTTGCATTCAGAGTGCCCTCAGAAATTCACCCAGAGCTGCTGCTCTTTCTAAGCTCTTGCAAGTACAGTGAGGCTGGAAGATGCAAAAGTCCCGATTTCTCTCAGAAGAAAAAAGAAAAACCAGCAAGAAACAGTCCATCAGCTGATTCTGTGAGGTTCATGGGTGCCAGGTCATAGTTTTCTTCAAGTGCTGAACTCAACAGGGGCTGGAAACCCTGCAGAGTTAGGATTCTGCCTGACCTACAGCTAGTCCTGGGTCACTAGCACACCTTGTGAAGCCAGAACTGGTCTCTGTAAGAGGCAGCTGCTTCTGGCTCCCATTCCTGCTGTGATCAATAGGAATCTGGCTCCTGAACCCAGCTTCTTCTGAACAGGAAATCTGTCCCACTGTTTTTCCTCTGTTATCTCCATGAATTAGCTTTTTAAAAAATATAATTGTAGCCTAAAACTATCCAATTCAAAGTAACAGAGGTGTGTGTGAACAGATCTCTGGCATAGCCCATCCAGTTCTTGACACTGGAACCACAGTCTCGATTCACATTCTCCAAGTACCTCCTGTCCTGAGGCTTAACACTGTGTTGCTGAAAACCTGCAGCTTTCATTGCAGTTACCTCTCAAATTCAGGCTTTCAAGGAAGAAGAGCCAAAGCTGAACTGGCCACCTGCAAGCTACATGCTGTGAAAAGGTCTGTGTTGTGTGGCTCATGACGCTCTGTAGAAAGCAAAAATCTCATGTAACTGATTGAGGACTGTGGTGGTAGAAAATGAGCTGAACTCTGCCCTTTTTTCAAACATGAGGGGTAGATTCAAGGTAACTGCAGTGAAGTTGTAAGAATTACTCTGAATTAATATAAGGCTGGTTGAAGGGCAGAATCTGCGCTGCTAGATCCTTAATTTTGCAGTTCTGAGAATTTTGAGCTAAAATATCTATCCAAAAGACTTATGAATTACTCAGGATGTAACTGAGAAGATAATTTGACTCAATTTATAGCAACCTGTTCCATAAAGTATAGTAAAATTTTGTTGCATTTTAATACATAACCATCTGCAACAGACCACCTTTGCTAAATCTTGACTTCCTAACAACCAAGTACCATATTCTTGTTCTATTAAGTTCAAGGAGTTTTGTTTTGGTTTTTTTGATGGGACAAGGCTTTGTTTTTCAATGTTGTGATCCTACCTACCTGAGGAAGTGAAGGTGGTATCCTGGGTGTGCAAGACTTAAGTGTCAATGGTAGCAATGATACTATTTGTGGAAAAGGATCAATGTCTACCCTTGGTCTGTCTTGGCATGTGTGCCAGAGCTTCAGTTTTGCACTGGCGGTTTCTATTGCTGTTGAATGAGTGACACAAAATCTGGGACCCCTAGGAAAAAAAAACCTAGTAAGTAGAACTTTCCCAGAACATGATATACTAGGCTACTTGGCTGCCTTCCCCTTCCCCCCCACCCCCGCCATGATGGCGTTTACTGTATCAAGATATGGTGCTATATGCACCTGGAATTAAAAAGCAGTTAGTGTTAAAGGTATGTTTAGACATTGCATTCTTCCAAATCTAAAACCAAGCTACACATAAATAAACTTAATTTGCAAATTCTGCACCATTATAGTAGCCTTTGTATGAGTCTGCAGTAGGATATGCCCCATCAATCCTGCAGCAAAGGATAGGAAAGGATTGTAGGGCACAGGACATAGACCACAACTCTCACGAGGCTCCGCAGCAAAGTTCACAACTGCAGGTATTTGTTTATGCTTGCAATTTGTTCATCCCCCTTGGGGAGGTGAGAAGACCTTCAAAAATTTAGCTTATGTTTTGGAAACAAGTTAGAATTTTTATCCTCGCTTAATCTGTCAATATGCAAAAGGCATTTTGTATGACAGACATTGAACAGTAAAGTCTCAGGGTCAAATTCCACATAGATGTATACACAGAGCATCCTCAGAAACTTGAGAAGGGCAATATGGGGAATAGGTTAGAACAGAATTAACCTGCTTTGCCTGGAGGGGTTTCTCTACCTTGCAGCCTAAAGTTTAGTTGAATGGTATCCAAGGCAGCTATACACAAAGTAGCTCAGATGCTCTGGCAGTAAAATAACAAGGACTCAGTAAGGCAGATTACCCGGCTTCCCAGCAGACTGCAGTGTAGTTTAGGCTCAACTAAAAATTCAGAGGCAACATCTGCTAGTATTTATGAGGACACTGCTTCCCATAATTGCAATGGGATAAGTGAGATGAAATAAACCTAATACGCTTATCAAAGAAAAGGGAAATTTGTTAAACAATAGAATCTTAGTTCATGTTCATTTTTTCATACCAGTAAAGAAGTAGAGGTTTCACTACTTCAGGCTGAATCTGTCTTAAATGCCTTATATTCCACTGATCTCCATGCAGTAGATCAAGTCTGAGTAACACTTCTGAACTGAGGAAATAGTCTCCACTGCTCAGCAGATACAGTTTTTTCATCTTACTGAGTTGCCTTGAGTCAACAAAAACAGTCAAATAAGCATGTATCAGATGCTGTACAGAACCAAGTACAGTTCATCCTACTGGCTAAACTGCTGTCATGCAACATGTTTTTAGTTGCAAGTGGCAGAAGCCAAAACAATTTTTCTGCAAATTAGAGACAGGTTGTGTATAAGATAAAATGTACGGTGCCCTAGAATAGACAATCTGAATCCAGCAGAGCCTTTCATTAAAGCAGTTTGTCATACTGAATGCCCTACTTGTGAATTTGAGTTCTTTTATTCTTTTTTTTTCTTTCTGTCGCCACCTGTTTTTCAAATCTCTCTCTAACAAAGCCTTAATACTACAGTGATTCTGACTTCATGTAAGCTTTGCAAACATGACTCTGCAAAAAGAGTTTTATAAGGTTCAGCAGAGTCATTCCTGACTTACCTTGTCAGGACACTCATGATTACTTTAATCGTGTCTGTTCTATTCAAACATTAAAATTTATTCTGAAATCTCAAAACGTGCATTGGTCTAGCTGTGTTACAAGTATTAAAACAATGGGAATAACTGTTAAATAATGGGAAGTACCTTTGCTGCCTTGTTGTGTCCTTAAGAGCCTTTAGTCTTTCAATATCCATCCAGAGCCACCAGTACCTCTCCCCAAGTGTTCCTTTAATGAACTTCTTGAATCTTTCAAACTCGTGTCTGGTGCCAGTGTCGTAAGTCCTGTGACTAATACACCAGGCAGCCCTACTGTCTGCCCCATCACTTTCAGAACTTGATCTTAAGCTTACTTCTTCAGTATCTCGTTCTCTTACGTCTCCCTTGGAGTCCAAGACAGTAAATGGAGAAGAACTTTGGGAAAAGAGTGACTCTGCAGTACCATGGGCAAATTCATTATTTGCTAACTCGTGTATAAACACTTCAGGCTGTTTGTGGAAATCCACATCATTCTCAATGTCAGCAGCTGGCTGGTGGGACCATTCTGAAATGGGTTCCTTCATTACAAATGGAGTATAAGCTGGTATGAATTCTTCCGGTGTCTGAAAATTTGTGCTTTCCTGTCCATTTTCTTCTTTTGCTGCACTGTCCTGTTTTGGGTCTAGATAAACTCTTAACTGAGCGTAGGAAGAAGGTTCAGCAATGGCCACAGAAGAACCCTCCTCAGCCTCTCTGGATCTCTCCCTAATAATGTCGGCTTTTGCTGATGTTATCCATGAAGGAGAAAGGAAACTCTGTGGGTGGCATTCCTTAGACAGGGAACCTGCTTCTGCATTAAATCAGAAAAGATCATTGAACACCCTTTTGTTTCAGGACTGTTCTCTTGCATATCAACATTTTCAAGTTAAAAAATGCAACATATGTATATTATGCTGCTGCAGAACAATCAGACCCTGTCATGCTGCAGAGCAGGGAATAGCAGAGGTGCTTCTGCTGTTGCTATCTGGCTAGAAACTCAGCCCCATGACTCAGAAACTCATTCCCTGTTGAATTCCAGCAGAGCAGCAGAGTTCAGGAACAACTCCCTCTGGAGCCAATTCTCTTGTTTACTCAGCTGAGCATCCCAGCTCTTTAGTGCTTGTTAAACCACCTTGTTGTGCTGCAAGGCCTGGTTTCTTCCTGAGCATTTTTTGTCATAGTTTGATCAAAGTCACAGTATGTAGCAGGATTGGGGTTTTTTAATGCCTGGGGAAGCTAGTAAGTGACAATTCTTTGTCTACTTACGTTGATAACTGCAAAAGACTAAAATATCTAACAGGCCTCTGTCAGTTGGGTAAAATCTTGACAGACATAGAAGGATGACAAAACAAATGATTATGTTAAGGGCTCTGGAACATTTAACAATCCTGCAGTCCAGTCTGCCACCCAGAAATGGCTCCTTTCCATTTAGAGATGTTTCATAACTAACAAATTCAGAACAGTGAGCAGCCCTGGTTTTTTTGGTCTACACTTCTCTACTTAATTCCTTTTACCCAACTCCTTGTCATCACCATGCTGTTAAGCATGCCCTGCCATCCTGGTCTGCTGAGAAAGGAACTTACTGCTTTAACTTGCTCAAATGTCTTTTCTACTTCTGCCAGACTTTTATCAAATACAGTACTTCTGGAGCATGTTAGGAAAGATGACGTTGACTATATGTATTGCTTAGTTAGGTTAATGCTGCTGTTGCTGTACAAGTCAGTCCTGTAAAACTGAGCAGAATAACTACAGATATTGTGAATAGCAGCAGAATCTAAGTGAAAGTAAGAAAAAAACAAAGTCATAATTCAATTCTGGGTCTACAATATCTTCATATCAACCCAGTGTTTAAATGATAGAATAAACTGTATCTTCATATTTCCCTAACGCTAAGATGTAGGCTTTCATACTTTATTGTATCACTGAGGCAAAACATTTGTCAGTGAGGAGACTGCTATAACCTCTGAGCACAAAGCACTACATCAGGCTGTGATAGAAAAGGGCTAAATCTCTTAGATCCACTAAATTCACATTTGTAATATTATCAGCCTGTGTAGCCCTCTGTGGTGGCCCAGTCAATAATGGCAATGGCAGCTGGACATTCTTTCCATCTTCCTCTGAAAATAAGCCACGTCTAACCGATGCTGGCCAGTCACAGACAGACGCTTGGATTAGGAACATGGCATAGAGATTCCCTGCTCTGCACTTATATAATTTTGTGTGTAAGTACATATGGCACAATATGTTGACTGTAATATAAAAATCAGTGTGATTTAAAATATCTTTTCTTATTTCTAAACTATTTCAAATGCTTTCACTTGACAAAGAAAAATTACAGCTTCTCAACACAGTTTTGTGAAATTGAAACATGAAGAATGATTTCACAGGACCTGAGGCAGTTAGGGAGAGAGATACACAGCTCTTGAGTAATCAAAAGCCAAGTGGCTCAGGGTTTTGCTCAAGACATTAATTGATAACCCTGATCCAACTGAAGCAGTGAGCAAGGAATTCAAACTGGATTGTCCAAGCAAATACCTTCAGCTATTGAACTCTTTCTAACTGCAGGGTTGCTCTGAGAAACTTGGCTGATGCCTTTTATTGCTCCCAGTGCCTGACCCCTACACCAGGTGAATACTGTGCCTAAAAAAAGTTTTCTGACTGAAATAATGCTGGATTTCCCATGAAATAAGCATAAAGAAGAGTAATAAGCACATGCAAAATGAAAGTCTATATTATAAAATAAAGTTTTCAGTAAGAAGATGTAAAATACTCATTGAGGCAAAATGCTGTTGGTTGACTGCAGGACAACTGCAGTAAAAGAGGACAGAGGGGCTTTCTGTAGGCCTATGCCCAGCCCACTGCAATACAGAGCTACATTACATTACAATGCTCTGCAAGAATGGTGCATTTGTGACCTCTCTGATCAAAGCACTGCAAAAATTAGTGGTAGAGTCATGAGCTGCAAACAAGTGCAACCTGTATAACTTCATTAATAATCCATGCATCAGCAATATACTTCCTGGGGTTTGGGGAAGAAGACAGACCTCTGGAGTTACCATGTCTTCCAGTTTTCCATTCAGCCATCGGACTCCAAGGTCTGAGCAGTTCAAGTCTCAAAGTGGAATGGCTGCTTTTTCCTCTGAGAATGAGGGACAGAAAACTCCTAACATATGAGCTGAGACTTCTTTGTTCATCTTGCTACTGCCTACAGAGCAGAAGCAAGGCTATACGATCAGGTATGTCCATATGTGCACCTGTATGTTCTCTGCCAGTACCTTTGAAACCTGCTGAATAATTTCAGTTAAATTTGACAGGTAGACAGGAGTGTCACAAATGATTACATTCTGTAAGATTCATGAAAATTGGCAGCCAAAAGGCCTTTAAGTGCCCAACATAAATACCCTAAGAAGATTGCTGCAACACAAATCATACATTATCAAATACCCAGAGAATCCAGACAAGAAAGTCTTTCAAAACATATCAAATAAAAAAAAAAAAAAAAACCCTTAGCTGAAACTTACAGATATCTACGAGACAGAAATATGTAAGAAAAGAGACTTCTACTATGACAAAATTACTTGGCTACTAGCTCAAATTTTCACTTAATGTTGTGGCTATGGAAAGAAACAAATCACCGTCTGAAGCCTAAGATACCATACAATGCTCGGAAGGTAGGAAGTGGAGTTAGCAGCAATTCCTTGGAATGCCTTTTCTTTCCACCTAGTCAGAGTTGTGTTATAAATACTATGGCTGAGCCCCTGTTACTTACCCAGAAGGCTATCTTCTTCACTTAAGGAATGGTCTCTTTCATGCTGCCCAGGCAAACACTGATTATCTTGAATTTGGCTAGAAGCTACAGGATGCATAAATGAATCTGTAGTTTTCATGGATTCACTTCGTTTTGCTAGTGTAAACCAATCCTTTGTTTGAGAAACTGTAGCCTAGGAAAATAAATGTCATAGAATAATTCAAATTTCTCTATTTATTGCAGTGTTTCTGAGTGCAGAGGTCTTAGTGTCTGTAGTCATTTTGTGCAGTCTGTGTAGATTTCTGTAATGATAGTTCCCAGTGAAGAGAGCTGTATGACAGTAGCAGACCATACTTGTAACACAGCTTCTGTTTAAGATGGATTACAACCCATCAACCTTCTTCTGTAGTACGAAGAGCTTTGAAAGTAAGGGATATTCAGAGTAGGTTGTCAAATTAGGTTGTGACCTCAGTTACAATAATTTAACCCAAAGCATTCAATCTTGATGAATTAAACATGTTTATTTTACCTGGCCAAGCGATATGTAGAACTTCTTCACAGTCAATGAAGTGTCATCCTCCTCAGGAGGAGGAGAATCTGGGTCTTGCTTCCTTATCCAGGGATAGTAGTCACTATCTATAATGAAATTAATGCCAGTCTTGCTCCATTCAACCTGTGATATCAATTTAGCTAGCCTGAAATTAAATGTTGAGACAAGAAAACTATTAATTTTAGCTTTTAATCAGAGAAAGAGTTGATTTTTTTTCCCCAGAATAAGGCAATAAAAAGCATGATCAATCTAAAAATAAATTGCTACAAAGAACTTTATGATCTGCTTTATTATTTCACCCTTCACCTTTTGTCACATATGTAAATACTAGTACTGCCATTCCATAGTCCAAAAGCTTTACATATGGTGGCCTGCTTTGCATTATCAAGCTGTACCAGTAAAACTGATTTCTGTCAGGATGATCTTGCATGTATCTGTGCAGTCCCAAGCCCTGCCAAGAAGCCCTCGAACATTTTGGTCACTAAAATGGAGCTATTCTCCCTGATTGTAGAAGCCCTGTATCACCACCAGACACTACATTTCCTGTTCTGATACAAGCACTTTTCCAGCAGCAATGCCACAGCCGTGATCACACTAATTGCACTTTCAGATGATAACAAGACAGCTGGCACTATCGTGTTCAGCTGACTGCTGTATGAGGACTTTATAGTACAGAACAGCACTCCAGTGCTACCTTGTGTTAGTGTGAACCTCACGATGTTCAGGAAAGGCAATCTTAGAACCATGTGACGATAATGAGGATGGGCTCGAGAACTGGGGCAGAACTTAGTTAAGTCAGAAAGCAGTATAAAATCAACCAAGGTGCATGTGAAGGGAAGACAAAGCCTATGCCTGAGCCTACAACCAAGAGTGAATGCCCAGTTTCACTTGTCCCCACTATATGAGGGCAAATATGATTTCATTCTAGGGTTGTGCTATCTACATCTTTAAGTGCAAGTTTCACTTTTAGCATCTCAGCTTATCTTGATCCTGATTCAGAAAAGCAACTTAAACCACTGATGTCAATAGAAATTAGGTACATGCTTAAAGTTAGTTTTATGTAATTCTCTTAGATAACTCTTCTTGATCAAAGAAATAATTTGCTATAGCAGAAGATCAAAGTTAATATTTCATGACACCCAGATATGTGTAAAGCAGGCTGCTTCTAAAGGTAAAATGGAGCACTCTTTCATGGTTTGCTTGTTCTTTGCACAGATTTCCCCTTGAATTTAAGTGCAGTCTTCAGGATATTGAAAGTGAAAAACATTTTGAAATTTTTAATGTAGAAATCTATACCCCAGTACCTAGTCTGTCATTACAATCAACAAACATGAGTTTTGTGAACCATACTGCCAGGCTGCCTCTCCTTTTAGGACCCCTGAAACACACTACGATTATCAGCATCTAGACACAACCTTAAGGGATGTAGAGGCAGATCCTCCAAAAAGCACACTGAATCTCCTGAACATCTGTGGAAAGGACATCTGGAAAAATATAGCAAGTGTGTAACAGTAAATCATCCAACTATGCCACAGCATCCCACAGAGAACCTTGCAAAAAGAAGCCTGACAGTGGGCCCAAAGACACAAAACTAATGATTGAATTAAAAAGGACTGGCTGTTTTTTCCAAATAGATTCCATAGATTCATAACTTCCACTTATATAGCTTACATATTGGTTAGAGAAAGATACATTGCTACCATATCTCTGTGGAACAGAGATTCAGAAATCAGTAAACCCTACTCTTACTCTCTTTGTAATGGTGTAATATAATATGTAATTCATGGTCAAGGAAAATTAAAGAATGCTGAGTGAAAAAAAAGTCACTGATTTTACTTTATCCAGGTCACTAAAATGCTAATATTAAACAAACACAACTAGAGATGGAAGAAAACATATCAAGAGTACTGTCAAGATGAATTAAACAGAAGAGAAAAATGTACAAATTTAAAACTGAGACACAGCATAAAAGATTGCAATACCTGTATTCAAAGTAACAGTCACTTTCTAGAAATGCTGGAAGCCTTTCTTTCTTAATCCACTGAATTGCTTGTTCTCGATCAAGACACTATTAAAAAAGAAATACCAAATATTTGCAGTATTCTTGACTTTCTTCTTTCATTTGCCATGTAACTGATTCTCTCCATCCCCCTTCTACAGAAGCATTGTCTCAGGAAGACAAATATACAGTGAACATCACCTTTGTTATCCAGTTTAGCCTTAATCATGCTGGGACAATTGAGTTCATTTACTTTTCTATTAACAGCTAAAAAGCTTGAAATCTGATTTCACCTATAAAAGTACAACTTTTTTAACAAATCATGGGTGGTTTTTCTTCAGAAATAATGTATGTATGAATCATGCTTTTACTGTACAATAACAAATGCAAATTAGATGCTCATAAATTTTCTGCAATAGGAAATTGCTTATTTTTCTGACTTTATCACATTTTATAAATAATCACTATTATATTTTTCCTCAAGAATCTGAAGAATAAGGAACACTTAAATTAAATTATATTCCCAGAATGAGACACCTGTGGATATTAAAAACAAAATTGAACAAATAAAAAGCCAATCATTTATCAGTTTTCCCACTTTTATGTTAGAGCATTGCAAAACTGCATTGCACACAGTAACTCATAGTGGAAGCCTAAGTGCATTATGAATTGGGCCCCTAAAAGATTTCTGCTCAGGTGGTCTAAGCCTCAATGCATCATGAAAGCAGAAAGGGAGGTGCTTCCAAAGAGTGGTTTGAGGAGTGAAAGGGAGATGTTGAGCAGTGAGCTACCCAGAGCCAGCTAACCAAAAAACTATGCCTGGGGTCTTGCACAGAGAGCAAGATCTCTGACTATGGGCCACAGTGATCCATAGCTGTTTCCCTTAGAAATGACACACAGCACACTTTTTAATATTTTTTTTTAAGAGCATACTTTTTCCACGCTTAGGGGATGACATGTTTTATTTATCTGAGGTGCATTTTTCCTTTTAGTGAAGGTGAGACTGATGATTTGGAAGAATGCAGCAGCTTCCCTTGTCCATAGAACAGGTGAAGTTTGGGCAAAGATGGATACTACTTGCTATATCAAATAATCAGTTAATGTAGATTACATCTTAAATTTTCTTTCCATGAGCTAATATTCCACTGGGGACAAGGGTTATTTCTGCCTCATATATATCTGTAGAGGATTAAAAAAATCTGAATTACTCAGAAAGTGGGTGGTTTCATTTAGAGAGAAGAAAATATTTCAAAATATGGAAAGCTTATGTTGGCAGTGGCTCATACAATGTAATTTGTGGAGATGAAGACTAATTACTCCCAACCACACAGTGTATGCCTCTTTTTGGTAACTGACAAGCTTTTTTGAAATACAGAAGATTGTCTCTTTATTTTGGCTTTTAATATTTATGTATTTACTGACTCACAGCCCAGTTTTTTATCTGAGTGATTCATAATATGTTCATGTCTGTACATGGTTGGTACACAAAATTATAGACACTATCAAAAAGGAAAGAATCTCTATGCTTTCCCCTTCCCCAGAGAAAGATGCTACATTTAATCTGATGGGTTTTGTTACCTTGGTTAGCTTCCTTACCCAGTCAGCCTTAGGCCTTGCTGGGACCTAATCCAGCAAAGCTTTTAGCACATGTTTAAGTTTAAGCATGTGTTTAACTTCCCTTGATTAAAGTTAAACACATACTTAAGTGCTTTGCTGAACTGGGGTTTCTCTGAAGTAAGGTATGTGGGATGCCAGCCAGTTTCTTTCCATAGCTGTAATCAATTCTACCCAATTCCACAGGTTTCTTTCTTAATATATTTTACACCAAGTTGATTGTGACTATTGATAAGAAGATACTTACCTCTGTATCAATAATTTGCAAGTGTGCATGCACACATGCAGAGAATATGTAAACTCGTAACAGTCTGAGGGGGAAGTAAAATACAGAGAAAAATACCACTGGAAGTATTTCTTAGGCGAAATGTGTTTAAATTCAGGCTGTAGCCTGAAAGGCCTACTAGGATTCTCCAATCATAACTCATTTTCATTAGTAGTGTGCCAGTGATGGCCACTCCAGGTGACTTTTTGTAGCAATGTAACATTCAAAGCAACTGTCAATCTCTTCAGTCAGTGTGAAGAAAGCGGTCAAAGCAAAGGAGGCAGCATCACCCGATGCCTGAAAGATCAAATTCTGTTTGATTTGAACTGAACTGCTTGATGCATTTGGTCTGGGTTGGCTTCTTCTGGTTCATAGTGTAGGACAATGAATGAAGCGGACTCTTTCACCTTGTGTAGTTGCAGTAACAATTTTTGGCATGCTGTTTTGCAGGCCATTTTGTTCCAGCTCAGCCTTGAGATGCCAAGCTGAACCAGATGAGGCATCTGTGTTACCTGTCCAGTAAAGGAGGAGTCAAAAATGAGAAGAAACATCACCCTTTCCCCACAAAAGGTGAAGAAAGTGTATCAAGGCATACTGCTCCTCAAAAGGCCATAATGCTTCCTATCTATGGAAAATGGCCCAGAGAAAGAAACGTATTCTTAAATAATACAGAAGGTCTGTTGCTCCAAACCACATGAAAGATGTAAGTAATAGTGAAATGGCTTTGAACTTGTCAAGTAAGGCCACTTAGAGTTGCAATGATGTGAGGTTATCCCAGAGAGCAATGTTAGCCACACTTGTACAAGCACACAACATTTCCTCAGTTGAATCCTGAGAGCAAATAAGAAATTGAGAATAGCTCTTCTGCTTTTGTGCTCTCAAGCAAAGTATTTGTGAAAATAATTATTTAACGTGGTAGCGAAGTCTGTGAGCCTTGTCGTATTGCAGCATTTGTCCAGTTTAGATGCAGATAATTGCAATCCCACATTACTATCATTTTGTTAAATACCATTGCCTTTTGACCTCTCTCAACACTGTTTTCCTTTCTGAAAATCATTACGCTTATACCGGGCAAAGCAGCAGTCTGTTACAACTCCCTGCTTTTCTCTCAGCCTTCCAGCTATGACATAATTTAGAGCAGCCGCCTCTAAAACTGTAGCAAGACCTTAGACTGGCCTTGAATGAAATGAACTGAAGTCACATCAGTCACACCAATGCAAAGTAAGCAAGAAAGGAATAAACCAAGTATCCCGGTGAAATATTTTTTCTCCTCCAAAGCTGTTGTTTAAAGGTAAACTCCCACAACAAATTATACTGTCTTGTATTGTCTTAGGTGCATACAGTGCTTCAACTCCTGATTTTAACCTGCCTAATTTGGTGCTGAAGAAAGCCCTGAAAGTAAACAGGTAGGAATACCAAAATTGATAGTGTCTGATACAAGATTTTTTTTCTAAAATCCAACCTATCTTTCAATTAATTTAGTTTTCTTGTTGCCAAAGATCATTTTCTCTGGCCATTTCAATTGATGCTAACCATGTAAATCCTTTGGGAATTAATGGAAGAGAGACTTATGTGTTGCCAGACCACAGATGAGCTCATAGCCACACAAGGAAATTAATTAATAAGGAAAGACTGAGATGCATTAGTTTCAGTCAATTTGCACATTCCAGGGATCACTAGTAAAGTAACTGTTGTCATAATATTTTTTCTTTTAATATTAAAAAGTATTCAGACCACACAACTGAATCCTGCCCTGCAGAATCTTCAAAATTTTGTGCTACAGGATGTACATCTGTAATTCCATTCACTTGTCTGCTAGACACATGTGTGTTGCAGGGCATAATTTGGCCCATCATTATGTTTTCCTAACATAAATTAACATTTTTCCCAAGCTACCAAGCCAAATACAACAATAACTACTGCCAGTATCTCTACAGTAAGATCTAAATATAAACTCAGGGGCTATAAGTTGCTTACCATAGTGTTGTAATTTGGATCAATATTGAAGGTTGGAGAAGCGCTGCGCATTTTGGAGAGCTGCCCATCATTCTTTGCTTTCCTTAGAACATCATAAATGGGGTTTGGAGGTTTCTGATCATGTAGAATTTTTTTCAGCTGGCTTTCCAGGCATTGTGGGGCATCATTAACTACTTCAAAAACCCCAAAGTCAGAGTTAAACTTAACCGGCTGGGCAAAAGTCTACAAAAGAAGTTTGGAAAGTTTATAGCATTGTAATAAGGGAACGCTTTCATTTAAGAAAGTTACTTTTTAAAGTATAGAAGCATCCTACAGAATGCAGGCTGGTATTACAAGGCTTCTTTCTCTTGCCTGCTGTAGTTTATGTTCAGGGCCTGGAATAGTAATTTTTCTGTATTCTTGTTCGTTAGTCTCTTCGCTGTATAGCTTTCCAAAGCAATTGTACTTTTTGTTTCAGCTATGCTTAATTGTCAAGAATTTAACTCATTCTAGATCACAGACCATTCTTTTTCACATGCAAATAATAGATCCAGTATACTGATGTCTAGAATATATAATTTACAGTGACTTTAGTAACTGTTCTGCAGGGGACTACTTACCTACAGGATCACATCTCCAGCGTTGTTCTCCCATTCATTACCGCAAGCAATCAAGGCTTGAAAAGAATAGCAATGAAGCTGACCTTTTAAATATGGGTTGCATTTGAGGAGGATGAATCTGAAGATTTCCATATGTAGGAAAGGCTTTTCACCATATTGTTACTTGTAGGTCAAACACCTACCAAAACCTATGGCCTGTAGTAAGTTTTATTATACATCACTAATTCAGTCAGATACTGTTATAATACATGAGGTAGACCAAACTTCAACTTCAGCTATGTAATTGTAACTTTTATCAACTCCAAAAAAACCACTACATGTGTACACATTAAAACAGAGCCATGTTTCATCTTTTGAGCTCTGGTATTAGGTATTTCCCTAAAAGACTATCTTTCAAATTCTTTTACTTGAAATGAAGAGGGAAAATACGGATGGATCTTACAGAAGTAATGGGGGATTACCGAGACAGTTATGAATATGAGATTATATACAACCAGAGCATATAAGCATCTCCACACTGAGCTGGAAGAAAAGAAGGCATGTTGTAGTTAAGAACTGAAGAAAATCTTGGCCATATCCAAACCCAGTGCCAAAATTCTTTTTGGCTTTGTTCCAGACAGGATCCCACCTGGTGTTCATACAGTTGTCGTTCCCCTGCACTTAAGATTATTTTATTTTTTCCAGCACTGTATTTTTCATTTCCTTGAACTTTTTCATATATCACATATATACATACATAGATAAAATTCAAACACATACTACATAAACTGAATACATGCTACATATAATATAGAAATACATTACAGACCAATTTTATTATTCTTCACGCCTATAGAAGTCCAAAGTAACTACATCACTGTTAGCTATTTTGTTGCTTCTGTTTGAAGCCTCCTTGTTGATCAAGGTCTTATAGAGCAATGCCCAGGATCAAACCACGTGGCTGCAACATGTGGTTACAACATTCACTACTTATCCCATAATGTCTTAGTGTGGAGGCTCACCCTGGCAAAGTACGTAGCATGTGAGACCTTTAAGTGTATGACTAGTGCCTATGACATCAGGCTGTCACTGCTCAGAGCCATGCATTGAATTGCATTAGTCTGTTTAGTTACCTAACTGCAGTTGAAATCACAGCTTGGTTTTTGTTCTCTGACACCTTGTGCCTCTTTCGGCATTAATTTTCTCCAGGGTACTCTGCAGATTTAGTGGTTTTTCTCCAGATGTACTGAACCACATTTTAAAGAGCCTTTTATGTGTAGTAGATTTCTCTATACTTCATTCAGACCTTCTCCCAATTTGCAATGTGTACATTTCATTTACTTTCAAACTTAATTTGGGCTGCTACCAGCTTTTAAGTGACTAGCTGTGCAACCTTAATAACCTCCAAATATATTATTCCTTATTTATTTTTCCATGTTTTTAAAAAAAGCAACAGAAGAAAGTACACTAAAAAAACAAGGTGCTTCGGTCTCTCGGGATTTGAAACGCTCTTGCTTGTGGAAAAAAAGCAAACAGAGTGCAAACTCCATAATATAGGGCTACGTGATTAGACATGACCAGATTATTTCAGTTCCATGTTGTTCAACTTGAAAACTAAACAAAGACAACATTAGCTTATCACACACATCTACTTTTACTTAATCCTTTGTAACTTACTCTAGATCTAGGTTTTTCAGTGCATATTTTAATTAACTGAACAGAAAACATACGGCAACTTTAATGTAATGAAACAGAAGCTAGTGACAATTTTTAAAATGTAAAGTGTATTGCTATTTTAGGAGTCTGAATACAAATCATTTATAAGACAAATATACTAATGAAACAAAAGAACATACACTGAGGGGATAAGAAAATTAAGGCTTCATACAGTACATACTTGACTGAAAAAGGTGGTTCTAGTCCAGACTTTTGGGGTTTGGACCAAGATGTAGTTACCTATCCCCAAGAATATCGAGGCATGCATACTTCCTATATCAGTCAGAGAGTAGCCCATAATCCTCTTTACCCGACACTAGTAAGACTACATCTGGAATACTGCATCCAGTTTTGGGTCCCCAGTACAAAAAGAATGTTCATATATTTGAGTGAGTCCAGCAGAAGACCACTGAGATGGTCAGAGGCTGGAGCCCTTGCCCTGTGAGGAGAGGCTAAGGGAAACGGGCTTGTTTAGCCTGAAGAAGAGACAGCTCTGGGAGGACCTAGCAGCAGTCTTAGAGTAGTTACAGGAGGTTACTGAGAAGGTAGAGCCAGGCTTTTCACGGAGGTGCATGGGGGGAGTGAAAGAGACCATGGTCGTACACTGAAATAACAGATGTCTCAGATATAAGAAAAAAGGTAATTGTGGGATGATTAGCACTGGCTGTCCAGACAGGCTATGGAATCAGTTGCTGGAGGTTTTCAAGACCAACTGGACAAAGTCCCAAAAAATCTGGTCTCAATACTAAAGCACTGACCCTGCTTTGAGCAGGAAGCTGGACTACAGACCTTCCCAAACCCCCTTGCAGCCTGAGTGATCTATGATTCTGTACAAATACCAAATTCTACCAGATAGAGGAGCTCATCAAACTATCATATAAAAGCATTTTAGAATAGTTAAATATGCTTTCTGGAGAAGCTTATTTCACTTGCTTACTTAAGAAACTAGAATGATAAATCAGAATGTTTTTGTAAGCATAATAAAAGAAGAGGTAAGTCCTGACCTTCTTAATTCATCCCCCACCAGAAAAATAAGAGTGATAATGTTATGACAAAATTCAAATGGGAACACAAAAAAAAATTAACCTGATTTCTTGTAGGAAACATTTTTCCCAGTTACAGTACAGGAGAGAGGATCAGTCAATCCATTTCCACTTTCAGTATGTGAGGAACTTTGGAGCAAAATGCACAATCTAACCATTCCCACACAGTACAAGCCACAAAAAAAAAAAAAAAAAAAAAAAAACCAAACAAAAACCTGTTCAATACTTTGTAGCAAACTTAAAACCTTTCCCACAGAAGCCAAGTGCTGTAAAATCCTACAATGTTTCACAGGACAATAATGAGGGAGGTTTATGGCACCACCAATATTCTAGGTCATTGCAATAACGAGGAATCTCTTCAGTGAAGGTGCCTATGTTAAGGAGTAGATGATAGCCTACACTATAAAGGAAGGGGAAAAAATTATGTGTGCCAATCTAATATACTGAGAAATGTCTTTCTTACCCCACATTTGGCAAGTGCTTTGGCTTTTTACTACACTAACCAAAGACTAAGTGTATCATTCTCTCTCTAGTTGGTCCAAATTTTGATCCTTTGAAGATGGAGAGGGAAAACTCTAGAGCAAAATTATACCTCAAGATGTTAAGAAAAAATAAGTCACGTTTGGCAGGAGCCTTGAAGCTTGGGATTCATACATTATCAATTTAGCACAATAAATAGTATCAACAAGGACTTGAGAATACCAACAAATAAGAAGTCTACAGGCTTTGCAAACTGTTTCACTCACAGGCAAGTCTCCCCTTGAACCCCGTATGACCAATGTAACTCAGTGTAGTAATCTCAGCTTCAGAAAAAATGTCCAAGCAAACAACAAAAAGCTGATTTCAGACTGTGGTACAGCAATACTATTAAATAAATGAAAAATTGCATGTATATTTTTGACAGCAAAGAAATTTCTTAGCTGTCAAATGCACATTGAATGTGGTTTCAGTTGAAGAATAAATAGAATACATAATTCTGAAACCTAAAGTTATACACTTAACTAAAGGGAAGGCAAATTTCTCTCAGTCCTCCCAAAACAGAAACCAAAACAGCATCCATCACCATGTTGCCAGGATATCAGACATATAAATCTCACTGTTCTCTGCCTTAAAAGTTTTCAGATATACTTAACTTCAGATACACTTAACAAATGTGTAAATATGCTCACCACATCCCACCCCAAATAATGTAGTTTGATCCCAAGAGAAACAGAATGACTACAGCTTGGCTGCCTTTTAGGTTAAGGCCCTGAAAGGGTGGGAATGAATAGAGACCTCATCCAGGAGTTTTGCCAAAACTTCCTTAAGACGGGTATGTGTGTATCATAAATAAATGTCAGTGAGAGTCCAGACAGAAGAGAATTTGAGTAGCTCTATGAAGTGCCTGGAAAATTCACACTGCACATGGTCAATGGCAAATCTCCCATTGACTTTAATGAGTCCAGGATTTCCCTTCCATTGATGAGTAAGACAAGTCACAATCACATACCACAATCTAATTAAGAGAGAGGAGAAAAATATTTTGAGTAAACCCACTATCAGTGAGAAAGGAAGTCAGGAATGTTTCTTTTCTTCCTTGAATGTCAAAGATATCAAGCCAGTTTTAGTCCTGGGTAAGTCTCAACGTAATATGCAGGTAGAGCCTTACTGATGTAAAAGCCTTTTTAAGGGAGGTTGTATCAGCACCTGCAGCCTCCCTCCACACACCTGGACAAGAGGAAACCAAAGAGCATGCGGTGATGCCTTGAATTGATGTGGTGATGCATCGATGCACTGAATTATTCACAGCCATCTTCAAAACAGTGAAGGGCCTGAACTGTGCAGTAAAGTGGACGGCTTTTTGCTTTCTGCCCTCTCTATCATCTGCTGCTCATAGTTCAGGCCTGGTTTTACTCTTGACAGCACTAGGTTTTCAGGACCATTCTGTTTTCAGAAAGACCGATTGGCACAAACTTTATTACTTGGGCTTTAATTGGTTTTAGAATCATCACCTGCATCAAGTCCTGGATCCCAGACTACTCAGTGGAGAGCTTTTCTATTGAGAACTTTCAAAAGAAGTAGCCTTCAAATCTGAAGCTGATAAAATTGTGGTCACTTATTAGCTTTCGGCTACAGAGGAAACCCACAGCCAGGGACTCGCCACCAAGAGTGTCATCTCCTGAATGCTTCAACTGAGGTGCACTTAGCTCTTCTGTCTCTAGTGCAACTCCTTGAGGTTGCAGAGGAGCATGTGTGTCTTCATCGGGATCACTGGTAACTGGAAAATGAGGGGTAAGGCCCCAGCATGGACTTGGGGTGGAATGACTAGCAGGCACTTGCAGAGTGCACGAGAAACAAGTTGACATTACTGCGCTTTCTTACTGAGGCCTCCAACACTGAGCTGGATGACAATTTCTGACTTCTCAATTTTCATTCCTAGCTAAACATATTCTCGGATGTTTTAAATACACGGATCAAAGATTTGAATTTAGGGATGCTTGACCAGCTAGAAATGGAAATGTATCCAGGCCAATGTTTCTCTTAAGCCTTTCATTTTAGATTAGTTACTACGGAAGGTGTAACTCGTTTTTATGTCATGTAATTGGTTTCTGCTACTGTGAAATCACTGTACTACTGGCAACAAGTGCCCTCACGAGGTTTTTATATTATTTCATCTTTCAGAAATATTTTCTGTACAAACCATCCTTCATTACACCATGTAGATCTTTGGAATACCTAGATATTCATGTCAGATTATATTGAATATTATTATAACAACAGGATCATTTAAAGTATATACCGTAAATCAAAGAGAAAAAAAAAAATCTACTGTTATAGCAAGTCCCCAGTGATAAAATTTTCCACACACTAGTGGTGTGTTATAAATCAACACAGAGGCAGTCTCTTAAAATAAGCATATGCTACCCCTGATTTCTTGCATCAAGTCACACAATATTTTCAGTTTAACTTGTTGCCTAACTACTAGCACACCTGGGTAATACTGTTCCCAGGCAACAGTGCATAAGCACAACAAGAATAAAGCAATGGAAATTTCAATGCAGTGTTTTAGTAGAAGCCTTCTGAGAAGGAGGGGGAAATTGGGAATATAAGGTATTCAAACCACAGAACTCAGGGCATTAATAGAACTTAATCCTGAAGAGGGTAAATCCTCAGGAAAAGATCAAAGAGAAAATAAAACCAATTATGAGAGCATTACAGATAAAAATAGCTAATAGAGCATCTGTTTTCATGAAGGTATGTAAATATATAGGAGACCATTTGTCATCTTAGAAGCCTATCAAGATTACTAGTGTAAAACAGTGTTTACTCAGGAGTGTCTGTGAACTCTTTTCTGTGGGCTTCCAGAGCTGTCAGGAGTGCCTGGACAATCGCCATGGTTCAGAGCTGCTAAGCTGTGCCAGGACTGCGGGCTCTGGAGCCCTCTGAGGCCAAGGAGAATTTTGGCCTCTAATAGAAGTCCTGAAATCTGTGCATGTCCAAGGAGACCCAGAGACTAAGCAGGCTGATCTTCTTACCCGCTCCATCCTCTGTGATTTGGGGAAAACTTGAGGCATAGTTTCCAAATAAGCAGCAAAAGCGTGAAGGATGGTATTCCTGTGCTAAGAACAATCTCGCACATGGAAGGATGCCTGCATTTAAAAGCTACATAGTTAGGCTTGGATTTAGGTAAATATCCTAAAGCAGCTGCAAAGGGGGAAAAAAAAATAGAAAGATAAAAAAACCCAGCCCTTTCACCACACATTTTCTTCTATATGTGTCTCCCTAGTTTTATAAAAATTATTCTTAGGAATGTTGCAGTGTGATGAAAGCATGTAAAGGCTGAGAGAAGTCAGTATTGCTGCTGTGCACAAAACCCACACTCTTATATAGAGTTAATACCTCTAGATTCTATTTTAAGATAAAAAAATTGGCACGGGGAGCCCATTCTACCATCCTTAGTTCTGCAACTCCCATTATGTGTACTTTTACACAAATCTGTGATGTGACTTAGAGAGCACATCTATGTCTAGTTCAGTTTGGTAAGCCTGAATCATAACTGAATTTATTCCAATAGTGGCTGCACTGTAGTCTTAGGTCCAAGGAGCATCAAGAAATATCCTGCCCCTTCCTAATGCTGGTGGTGGTTCCTACCAAGCAAGTTGCAGAAAGGGGTATATGTTCTCATAGTGCAGCCTGTTGGACTACAGTGCTTTAGGAAGGGGACAGGCTGTGGGGCAGCTCTGGGGTAGATTGGCTGGGAGATCCCATGGGAGCCATGAGCGATGCTGTGGAAAGGTCTGTGCCACCTTGCAGTGTGGGGATGGAGAGAATGGGGACAGGCAGGCCCAAGACTACCAACATGAAGTTGGGTGAGGTTGCCACATTGAGGGAGCAGGACAGTACATGTGACTCTCATGAGACTGTGGGAAGGCAGGGTAGTTAATGGGGAAAAGGAGCAAAATATAGGGCAACTGGTTAAATATAGAGCACTGAGTATGGTGGTCTAACTGCAACCAGATCAGCACACAGAATACAGTGTAAGGCTGCATCCTTCTAGCTGCAAACGGGAGAGGAACAGGAGGGGAGTGCCAACTTCGAGACCTTCACAGCCATGAAGAGAAAGAGTTGGTTCCTGAGCTAAAGTGTTTATTAATCACTGAGTGCATCACCAGAAGAATGTAAAAGGACAAACATTTGTTATGTTGGCACATCATGATACTGGAATAAAAGTAGACTCCTTATACTTTTTAAATAAGTATTTATGTGTCTTTTTCCTTTCCTATTCATATTATTTTGGTGCACTGTGATTTAAATACATAAATTTGCAAGAGAAAATATATCCACAGAAGTCCAGATACTGTGTTATATTTCCTGACACTGATAAGAACATGGAGCAATAAGAGTTGCTACCATTAAAATACAGACATATTGTAAAAGCCATTTAACTACCCAGTGACAAAATGCAAACTGTTCTAAGCTGGGTTTCATTACTATTAAACTTAGTAAGGTGTTTCTTGCATTTTGCAAGGGATTTCTGTAAGGTACTTACTGGAAGACTCAAAAATTCATTAAAGTAGTCCACAAGCATATCATCTGTGGCTAAGCATTCTTCCTACAGAGAGACAAAACCACAAAGCACGGCTTGAATGAACTATTGCTTCAAACAATTCTTTTTCCATGAGATATGACATGCAAACTTTTGCAAAATGTTATTTCCCGCTTTTGAGAATATAATCATTGCATCGTTGTTACATTCTAGCCATTGCACGCTGCTGAGGTCCTTAGCAATTTAAAAAACACACGTGAAGGTAAATCCTTTGCCAAGAAATTTACAGATAAAGCCTTCATAAGCCCAACAGCATCTAAATGCTGGAAATCTGCATGTTTTCTTTTGAAAAAATGTGCATAAGCTAACGGTCTAGAAATTCCCCACATTATACCTTTTTCTCTCACATCTGGGAAGAAGGGGAGTATAAAAGTTCACCAGAGCCTGCTTCTGCACCCACACTGCTGCTTGGGGATGTTTGGGGAGATGTTTGGGGAATAAAAGGGAGTTCGCTGATCTATAATTTGGCTCACCAAGCAAGCAAGTGTATGGAATACTTTGAATCTGACAAAACTGGGAGGCTTCCTGTTGACCTCATCAGAAGTGAAGACTGCATCTGCAGGTGTTTTTGTACCGTTTCTGATCCCTGCATTTTAAATCCTGCTAACAAGACTCAAAAACTGTAGAATAGAAATTATTTTTTTTGCTGTTGACAAATCCATAGGTATGGATCCTAATCTTACTTCCTCAATACCACCACCCCACCCCCATTTCAACTCAGTAGAAGGTGAAAGTAGAACATTATTCCATTGGTCTTCAAAAATCTGTCTTCAATATAATGAAGATTTTAATAGTTTTCAGTTTCTTGAATATTCTGTTATTTCTGCCTTGCAACGCAAGGAGAATGCACCTAAATCAAATATATTTGCCAATATCAGCAAAGGTCTTGTGACAGATCTTTTTTCTCTTTCTTAAGTTCATAGCATTGAAATGCACTAGTGAGGAGTAATATTAAAGAGAGATTATGCACAGTGTACATGGTATCACTTGTAGGCAGGCAGTATCTTGATCCAAACCCCACAGTGTCTAACTTAAACAGAGACAGCTTGTACTCAGGTAAGGAAGAAATCTTGAGCTAATGTACTTTAACATGAACTGAGAAAGGCCCCTATGTGCTGCACGTCAAGGCAGAACCAGACCTAATGGTGTTTGCCTGGCCTTAGTCTGCCAACATTTGTTCCTTGGCACTTGTGGCTGCTGCTGTTGTGACTGATACAGGACAGGCAAGTTAGCTCACACTCATTCCTGGAAAACACTGACAACACTGAAAGCAAGGCTTTCTGCATTACAGAGATCGTGCTTTATTTGGATCACAGGCTCATGGTTCAATGCACTTGCAGTACCATGGACCTAGAGATTGTTAGGGCACTGATTAAGTAGGAGAACTTACCAAAGTGTCTAACCCAAAGCCTTTTTAAGTCAATGGAAAATCCTCTCACTATTGTCACTAGACAATCAATCAGATCCAGAAATCTTAATTCAGCAAGTGTTAACACAATTAACAAAAAAATTCATTAGAAACAAGCTGCAGTCTGCCTCATGTTTGGTTTGGGCAATGCACAATTAGCTTTGACACTGATAAGGATGAATCCGAAGATGGCTAGATATAATAATACCCCATTAAAATATTTTATTGTTTCAAAGGACTTACTCAAAACAATTCATTTATTACTGGCTGAAGTATAAGCTCTTTAAGAATGTGCAGTAACATGTTTTTAATTTGCCAAGGATATAATTCTCTGTAGTCCTATATAACAGCAAGAAATGTAAACACAGTGGCTGATTAATCAATAAAATTTTTATGATCTTATTAATACAAGCTTTACTACTTACTGATCTTACTGCATCTATACACAATACACTTTCCTCTGGTTTTGTGAGGGTTTTTTTGTGGTCAGTCTTAGTTTCATTAAGCATAGTTGCACTTTCATATTTGCACATTATAGATTATGAAGTTGCATATACAATACTATAGCTTAGATTTTTGTGTCAGGAAGCATTTTGTTTCATTTCTTCCTATACCATCTTTCCTGCTGCACAGTCCAAATTATGACTAGAAAAAGCTGCCTTACTATTGCAACTGGAGGTCAAGATGTGCTAAAAATTGGTCCAAAACTGCAGTTTTGCCTTCATGCAATTTGCGTACAAATAGGGCCTGATTTCTATCACTCTTTTAACATTGAAAGGAATTTTTAAATAATTTTGGCAATCGTATACAACCATTTCTTAGATATTTTGTGGAAACAAACCTAATGACTTTCTATCTGTAGTATTTGATAGCTTTCTCTATTGCTGCCATCATGAAAAAGTACAGAAACACAGAAATATTGTTAGACACCAAAGGAGAAGCTGAATGTGGGTCAAAGTGGCACCATCTTGAAAGGTTTGCATTTCACGTTGTAGCACCCACTAAAATGATAAATACCTCTCCACTCTTGAAAAATATATAATAAATGGCATCTTTAAATGTCAAAAGTTAAAGTTAATATAAAACCCCAATCCTACACAGAACTCTGACAGCTTGATGTCCATGTGTGAAGTTCACCTGGAGTCAGATATGTCTAGTCACATTAAGTAGCCTGCAGAATCAAGTTTTAATGCAATGTAAATATGCTGTTGAGAGATGTTCTCATGTACATATTTATGTATGCTAAATATCTACTATGGATATTTTTCCTCTACCTGAATTCATGTTGATTCTTTTTATGATGATAAACAGTATAAATAAGAGTATCTAGAGGCTCCCAAAAGGAATAGCAATACATTTATACATTAAAATACACAGTTACAAAGGCATCCAAAATGGGGAAGAGGCAAATGTTACCTAAGCTGCAAGATTTAAGGTGTCATTTCATTTGAGGTAATAGACAAACATATATACCTTTCAAATGAGAAGACAAACATCAGGGAAATCCTACAATGAACTATGAGCAAAGGGCAGAAAAGGTAAAGTAAGGAGGAGATTTTTAAACCTGTCAAGTTGAACCTTCCAGCTGATTGTTTCCTTCCTTCATCCTATTTAACTTTCCTTTCCATTTCTATCCTTATTCTCCCTAGTCTCCTGTTACTGAGAAAATTGTAAGAAATTACTCAGTAGTCTATACTTACATGAAGGAAAGAAATGAGAAACCAGACAACAGTTTCCAAAAACATTTTTTGCTTTTTTTCCCCTCTACAGTTGCATGACAAAATGAATGATCAAGCCTTATATAGCATACTTACAAACACTTCTTCTGTTATACGTGGAGGCTCTGAAACACAAAAATGAAATATCATATGTTATCCAAGCAATGCAGTCAAGCTTGTTCAACTACAATTACTGAACAGAAACAAAAAGTAGTGAGGCATGACAACTTTCCTGGATATTCTGAAATAAAATAACTTAGCCTGAGGAAATAAAATAAACCCTAAGAACATGCAGTAATGTTGACCCACGCATAAAAATGTTGACTATCACAAGAATGATTTAAATATAATTCAAGTATTTTTTAACTAGATTATTTCTCACACATATCAGTCAACTTCTTGTCAGCTTTCCTCTGCAAAATTGATAACTAGAGGCTTGCTGGCGTTAATGAAAATACAGATTTTTATGAGACTCTCAGAGCCTTGAACAGCAAATACTACGAACCACATGATAAAATTAAAAAAATTTAATCATGGGTGTTCCCAAGTAACCAAATCTCACTCGTTCTAGGAGAATAGTCCGTCTTTTGCGATGCCATTTGAAGGGAGTAAAGTTGTCTCTTCAGATTGATGAATTTTGCTGGGCAAGTTTAACCCTCTCTGTTCAAAATCCCCCTCTTTTGTATCACTGTCTCTGTGAGACAATCACTCTGGGGTCAGACCCCCCCATCTGACACAGATTCAGTCCCTCGCCCTCTGTGGGAAGCACTACGTACCTGTGGTAAGCCTCTTCGACTGCATCCTGGATCTACATGTGTAAGGGCCGGCACCCACCCCTGCAAGCTTACGACCTCATTTGCAAAGGTGAACTCCTTGACTGCAGACCAGAAATAGAAGCTGCAGAGGTGCTGGGCCTGGCTGGGGCCTGCTGGTCTGCAGCAGGGCCGGCTGGCTCTGCTGCGTGGCTCCCAGCAAAGCGGGGTTGCTATGGCACTGCAAACAATGCACGGGATGAGCTGAGCCGTAAGCAAATACTTCCACCGCGGGTGCAAATCTCCCTGAAGCAGACTCCGATACGAGGTCCCAGAAGAGATGCCTGTGAAGTAGGAATGTGAGGATACTTGCAGCAAGAAATGAAATCGAACGCTCTTTTCTCAGCTGACCTAGGCAGCTCTTGGTCCTATCAGCTGTGCTCAGGAAGCGCCCAAAATGTACCACGAGTTTCCCATTCCCAACGAACTCTAGCATTTGTGCCCCCTTCCACAGAACAGTATGGTATCTCCAGTCATACTCTTCAGCTGTGAAAAGAAGTTTTATTTTAATTCATACATGACTTTGGGGGAGTCCGCGATCAAGTGAAAACAACAAATGCACACGCTCAGGGACTACAGCTTAAAGTCCAGGAACTGATGACTGTCAAACAAGCAGCAAATCAAGTATCAGAGGCACGGAAAATGGCTTCATCCTAGAAACACGTGGTATTTTGCGCCCTCTAGTCCAGATGTGCATTCCCACTCCTGGGGGTGCTTGCCCAAACACCACAATCATTGCTCTAATTACTAAATGCCAGAATAATACTACTTCTAATTGTCTTGGTGGAATGTAGTTAGCTGTCTGATTAGCTTTTTAGCATGGATTTTTTTTTTTTTTTTTTTACTTAAGGGAAGAACAACATTTCCAAAGACCTAAGAGACAAGCTGAATAATATCATAGCCAAGATACACATTTCACCCAGCAATATTTGATATACGTGAAAATCATATTCAACAGAAGCAAAGAATACAATATAAAGATTCAAATTTAAGTGAGCTACAGACAATTTAAATAGTATGATCAGTATTCTGATGAAGTATTAACTACCCTTAAGTTCTCTGTATGCAAATTCTATTCAGTAAGACATGACAAACAGTAGGTTAACACTGAACGGCATACACCTAAACACATAATTTCTTAGTGCCGTGTATCAGGATGTGTTCTATTGTGATTATGAAATATTTCAAACGGGTATACATAATGTATATGTAAGGGAAATATGCATAACAAGATAGGCCATAAAATGTAAAGTGAAACCTTTCCAACAGGTAGAAGAATTGCACTGCATTATATATGAGACTGCATTGTCTCATAACCAAACTACTTAATATGATTTCAAATATTTAAGCTAATGTTCATTCCACTCCTTTTCCCCCTGCCCCTTTTTCTTTCTATTGCAAGTTTAGACATAGTCTTTGGTGTATAACATTCTCCTAAACTTCCCTAGTTGCTTGTAATTTTTGTAGAAAAAACAACAGAAACATGATGAATGCGTCTTTTTTTTTAATTAGAAGTGGAAGCCACAAGTCAGCTTAGATAGAATTCAAGTTTGGAAACGGGTCAATAAAAAAAAATAGAAGTCCTTTTTCTCTCCTTTTGTCATCTGGTATGTTTTGGTATAAAACTCTTAGGTCTTTGTTCTCTTTGGGATGCTTCAGAGATTGCATTTTGCATTAAGCTCATCAGGAAACACATTGTACTCTCTCATGGAGAATCTATTAGCATTTGCTATCACTTTCTCATTATCTTAGTTAAAAACACACATTTAAGTCAAATATTGTATCTATGTGTTTCAGTCCTGATTTTATATTGCCTGTTAAAAGTTCACCAGCTGGTGAAGCTGAGATATAAAGATTAAGATTATTCTCCTCCTTTTCCACATTTTTTCTCTTTCCATGCTCTTCTCTTATTTTCATTTTGATTGTTATTTAGCTTAGCAGAACTGCAGAATGTTTCATAAATATAGTAAAAGCCACGATCTATCCCAAAAAGCATCTGACCTTGTAGAAAAGATGAACGGCTAGGCAGGATGGAGAATAAGTTCTAAAAAAGGTGATACCAGTAAAATTATAGACAAGAAAAAGTAAAAAGAGTTGAAGTAGGTTTCAAATTATTAGCATTTTTAGAAAATGGTAATCTAGCAGAAGGTTAGCACAGGAAGATATCTGCACAGGAAGACAAATGGGAGGAAAACATAAATTGGTCTTCTCCATCCCTGCTGGCATGTCCCTCCTTTGCTCATTACCAAAGAGCCATCTGGAGAGGTGAACTTTCAGTCAAGACTTTAATCTGTCATTATCCCTTTCCTCCACACTTCTGAGAAATTTATGCCTTCGGCCATCTACCAGGGAAGTGTCTCAAAGTATCAGCCAGGCAAATCAGATCAAAACTGCTGAGACAACTTTGCATTCAAAGAAACAAGCACATAAGCTATGCCAGCTTGCTGGCTGAACAAGTCTCCTTGTGACTTGCTCAGGTAAAGACAAGACATAAATTGGATTGCTTTATTAAATCCAAATGCACACTTGTGTTTTTAGGTGCTAAACTGTGTTTGATTCCTGGCAGTGGTCACAGTGAATTCATGAACATCCCCCTAATTAATTACTCATTCAAAAAGCAGTAAATACTATTAAAAAAAAATGCAGATAGATATCCAGAGAGATCTCCAAGGGCAGCTATGAACTAATTCCCATTGATTTTCAATAGAAATGCCCCATCTCAGATATAGGTGGGTGTTTCATCATGTGCTATCTTTAATACCTAAATATCTTTACAGAAATCCAACTTTGAACATAAGTACTCTTTCTTCTTTGCATGATTGCCACATACATTTTTGCTGATTTCAGATGCAAAAGCTATCTCATAAACTGGAAACAGGTGCTGGGAAGCCTATTTAAATATTGACTGCAGAACTGCCAAAATGGGAGTCAGATCCTGAGAGGAAAGCACAAATCGATCGTCAGATAGCTGGCCCTTAAATGCCTTAAATTTTTCTGTTGGCAAAATGGCAGAAGCTGCCTATTGTGGTGGTACAGCCTCTGTGTGTTGAATTTGATAGTTCTAGTTTACAGCTCAGTTTAATGCAATTCTGTGGCTGTCAGAAAAAGTTAATGCAGACATGCAAGGAAATTGTTATTGGGAATATAAGCCAATGAAAGAATTCTGAAAGGAGAATAAAAAAACAAACCACACCATTCCTGAAGATAGTCTAGGTGAAGAGAAAAAAGAAAGTGCTTAAAAATAACATAGGAAGGCCTAAAGAGTAAAGAGATGAGACATAGCTTTGGTCTATCAACATCAGAAGCCTTTTACTAGCAGAGGAGACTGCCAGAAGGAAGGCAAGTCCAAAGAGCTTGACCTCTACAAAAGTCTTAATTTGCATAGTCACTGGAAAATATTCCTTGACTTACCCATGTCACCAATGGCCCAAGAATTCCTGTAACAATCTTATTCTACCAGGACAAGGTAGAGGTGTTTTATTAAGTTTAAAGACTTTAAATACAGTTTGATTTCCCTTTGCTTAGTATGGGTCTCAGAAAAGATAAAGGGAATATGGAGGCATACCTGGAAAGTGAATTGGAATTTGGAAGGACCACTTAGCAATTTATAGTATACATTTGTATTCTTGCTGCCTCATACATGCCAGCTACCTACTTCATACCTGCAGTCATCTGATTCCTTCAGAAATTTGTATTAGTGTCTTAAGAAATAACTGCTAGAACTTCAGGAGAATATCATAGTATGTTTTCCAATTTTGTAAAGGACCATTAAGACTTAATTGAAAAAAAACTATTCAGAAAGATTGTGGCAGTTTGAAGAAGTATAGCAGAAATAAAGTCATCCTGTGAAGACAATATGAAAATCAAGAAAGAACTACTAGACCCACAGCTATCAAACCACATACAAGATAAAAAAAAAGGCACAGTGCATAAGTTTAGAGCAAGGCAGAGAGTGTTTTTTTGCTAGCAACCCTACTACAGTTAACGTAGCATAGTTTTCACCTGAAACATAAGATACAGATCAGAAGAAACTATGACAGTTATTTCTCACAGGCATTTCACTATCAGGGGATGTATCAGAAATTTTGGCACTGTGTACAAAAGACTGCATTGTCACTGTCTATTCTCTATTTTTCATGTAGATAAACTGGAGTCATGGTTTGTAGTACATTTTGGCTGTGCTAATTCAAGCTTTGCAAGTTTACCACCACTTCTTACTTTCAGTTGTTTAATTTCATGACAATTTTTTTTTCCTGGGGTTACTTGTAGCTTGGTTTAAGTCAGGTCAGTTCCTTGATCTTGGCTTGGCAGGTGTTCCAGCCAACTAAAGGGCCAACGCATGAGGCATACAAAGAAGCTTTAGCAGATAGGAATAACATATGCCAATAATGCCAAACACATCCTTTAACAAGATGATCTCCTGGCAGTAGGTGGCATATACCCAAGAAGAAACACTAAAGTATGTGTGTCTTTCCAGTCTTGCTATTACAATCAAACAGACGTCAACAACAGTCCCCAAACCCAGGGTTCCCCAGCTAAGAGCTATGTGAGATATTACTGATGCATCAAGACTGTGGATAGCACCGGTGCTGTTTGAGAGACTACATCCCACTGACCACCAGTTCCCACCTTTTTGTATTATACTGCCATGGCTGCTTGTGTAGCTGTATAATGAAGCAGAATGGGAGACTGATGCAGCTTAAAAAAAAAAAAATCAAATCAGCAGGAAAGAAGAAAAAGATTTCAGGTACATCAGCTTCCAGAACACAACAGTGTCAACACAACAGGTGTTAAGAATGGTGTAAGAATCCATAACTAATAGGTGCTTCTTAAGATTTCAGTAATGCTTCAGAAAAGCATACGGAATTACAGCCTTCTTATTTTGTACGTATTCTACTTTCCTACCTATTGCTCTCCTGAACTCCAGAAGTACCTAGTTAAAGAATGAAGAACACATTAAGTTCCCAAATTCTCGCCCAGTCTTCATTT